CACTCTGCTGAGACTCCTGAGAAAGCAAATTACCTTGACTGCATTGCAGAAGAGCAGAGTTTACAGGTAATACAAGATTATATAATTAACCCCAGCGTTTTCCACCCCCGTTTGTTATCTTCTCATTGTCCTCTGAATTGCAGTATAAACATTTCCATCACTACCATTTCCAAATAAAACATAGTTGCTTGTGTTCCCCAGTTGAAATCTGGTCCGTGCATCCTATTTATTTTACCAGCCCTGAAAAGGAAACATCCCAGTGTATAAACAGTTACACCACAACAATTCAAGGAGTCAGAAATTTGGGCAAGTGGATGGACAGGAACCAAAGCCAACCTCGAATGCACCATGTTCTACACTGTAAAATCTCCTCACAGTTGACTGGCAGATGCTATAAAGGAAAAGATTCTGCTCAAAAGTACCTTTTAAAACAAAAAGCTCTTTAGAAAATGAACTCACATGAAGACCTGATTGCATTGAACTGTAACACCTCTGCAATGTTCACACATCATGCACCACAGGCAGAAATTAGGCAACTCAAAGTATTAAAGGAAAGGCAGATCAGACTCACACTAAGTGCAGATAAAGCACCTGCTGTGTCGAACAAACTCTCAAACCAGTGTTTTGTTACAAACAGGTCACTGCAATAAAGGCAGGCAAGTGTGGAGGGCACTTCATGCATCATGTGAAATACCTGGACTTTGAGTTTACGAAAGGATGACAACATGATGGAGGAATGCAGAGTCTAAAAGGGAGGGGGAAATGGAGATAATGTTCAGCCAATGACCAGCAGAAGGACATGGCTCATTTTTTTTTCCCCCAGATGCATTTTCTGTCACAGTACCTGTTTATTACTTCCCTTCTGCTTCCTTGTCACATAAACCAATTTGGTGTTAACGTCACCCAAGCCATTGAGAAGAACAGACCTCCCCACGCAGAAAAAGGTTACAGGAGCAACAGAAAAACTTAATTAATTTGCTATGTATTAACCTTCCCAATTATCTGTAGACAAAACAGAAAACTACCCCAACCTGAAGGTCAAAACAGAAAGTAAAGCAAGTTCTCTGGACTTGGCAAATGACGGTTCTTGCTACAGCGTAATTAAGTGTGATGGCTTAATTTAAAGACACAAATTCAATCAGGAGGTTTGGAATATAAATACCCACTAAGGTGTTTACTTTCAATTACCACAGTCAAAGAAAAAGGCCAAGCAGCAGTTGTGACAAAGCTGTTTTTTGAGTTGTGGCTGTTCCGTGTGTCCAACCAGGGGATTTTCTGCTGACAATTCCTCGCCTCCCCTAACCCTGCGACATCCCCGTGGACACGCTGCAATCCCTCCATGGAAAACTGCAGCACACAAACGTGTGTGCCTTCGTGCTGCTGGAGCTGGGCACGTGTCCAGCTTCACCTGGCTCTGCAGCAGGGATCCAGCAGCTTCCCATTCCATCTGATCCAGGGGCAGCCCCGGGAGCACAGCCCAGTCTCCGGCCATCCATGGCATCTGCAGTCTGCTCCACCCCATTTTTCTGCTGCCTGCACTCACTCCAGGGACAAATGGAAAAAACAAACCCCCACACTGCACAAACATGCAGCAGGGAAAAGGGAGGAATTCCTATTATTTCCTCCCATACAGGCAGAGTGATGAGTTGCCCCCAAAAAGCAATGTATTTATGAATAAAATAATTACAACCTCATAAATACATTAAATAGGAAAAAAAAAACAAAAACCACCAAAAACAGGCAGCAGAGATACCGAGTTATTTGCATTAAATGACTGAGGTCAGTTATCAATGTCAGAGTTGAGAAATAGGAATTTCTCACCATGAGGCACAACCGTGTCTCAAGAGGTTTAATGCTTCTCCTACCTCACTGCTGTGCAGGAGAAAAATGGGCACAGAATGCTTAAAATGTGTAAAAGAAAGTCTTTGATATTCACCATTTTTGCTACTGTTGATGCCTCTGCTATTAAAAGAATAAACCAGAAATAGGTTCGCTAACTTCATCAACCACAGGTCTCACAGAAGCATTAACTGTAAACCTGATTTTTAAAATAAAATTTCTATTTCAATCCAGCCAATATGGACGTTTTGGTTCTTTTTTCCCAACAAGAATGGAAATAAATTACTTCTTGTGAACAATGTAACCTGTTATCTTGGTTCAAGTATTTTGCACAGCTTAACAATTCCATTATTACAGCTGCAGATCCTGCACACAGTGCAGCCAAAAACACCCCATTTCCAACCTTTTGTTCCTTACTTTCTCTGCACAATCTATAAATAAAAAAAAAATTAAGATTTCATGGAAGAACTCATTACAAGCTACATTAAAATGCATAAAAATCCCACAGTGGGATTTAATATTTGTTTTGAACAAATCCGAATCCCTGACCAAGGCCTTTCAGCGAACACAGTCATCGGAATCTTCTGGCACTTCACTGGAGACAAAATGCCAAAAGAAAATGGATTATTTGTTTTCCAGAAAGATACAGAACCATTTCAGGCTGAGCTGGCTTTTTTGGGGTTGGTTTTTTCTTTATTCTTTTTTTTTTTCCCCTTCCCTGATGTGTTCATTTGCCATCTCCAGACAACTGCTCTTCAAAACCTATTTAAATATGTATGAAAGACTGCTCAAGAGTCACGAACATTTTCCACTGGAGCACGAAGCTGGTTTATGATATAAAAAATCCTGAGCAGCCACTGTGAGCCCGCTGAAAAAATATACAGTGATAAATGCTTGTTTTTCCTTCAATAGCAGGACAAACGACTGCCCTATTGGCATATATTTATGACCCAGCAATGTAGATTTGTATCGTTATGAGCAGGCAGGGTGTACACGGGCAACAAAATGAGAAAGAATTGATTTGGATTTATTTTAAATTATATTAAAAAATAATTTATCAGGGCAGGGACAAGTCCTGATTCTTTCACGAAGGAAGCCGTAGACCTTGCCCTGTATATCACAGTGACACATCTATGGAAGGAACAGAGGTTGGGGGGGTTCTGCCGAGCCACCCCCGGCTCTGTCCCCGCCCGGAGACCCCTCCGGTCCCCGCGGAACGGGCTCTGCACCATCCCCGGCCCTTCCATCGCTCTTCCCTCCTCCTCGCCCATCCCCTGACCTTGGACAGGGCTGGGCTGCCCAGGAAGCCATTGCAGTGCAAGGGTTCCCGGGCCGGGGGCTCCATCCCCGGGGCTCGCTGCCCGGGGCAGGCTGGGCTGTGCCCGCGGGGGGCGCGGCGGGGGCTGCGAGCCACGGCCGGGGACGGCATTTTCCGCCTCTTTAGCCCTGCCCGGGGCGCTGAATGGGATTCCAGCCGCGGGTCGCGCTGCCCAGGGCGGCTGCGGCCGCTCCCTGGAAAGGAAAGGGTTCCCTGGAAGCCAAGGAATCCCTGCCCACCCCCGCCCTTCCCCGCGCTCCGCTCCCCCTCGGGCAGAGCCCCGGCCCGGCTCTGCCATAAAACACCGCCCGGCAGCAGCCGCGGCCGAGAGCGGCCTCAGCCTCGCCCGCCGCGCCCGTACACCTGTGTGTGCCGGGCGGTGCGTGCGGGGCTCGGTGAGCCCGAGCGGGCTGCGCTCGCTGCCCCCGCCCGCCCCTGCCCTCAGCCCTCACCGGCTCGGGGGGTGCGCAGGAACCTCCCGTCAGCTCCGCGCCCTCCGCCACGGACCGCGCGCGCCGCCCGCGCCTGCCCTTTTATAGCGCGGCCGGAGGTGACGTCAGCGCCGCAGAGCGGCCCTGCCCGGCCGGCGGAAAGAGCCGAAGGACTTCGGAAAGAGTCGGGAACGGGGCGGGGCGAGGCCGCGCCCTGGCGGGGAAAAGCGGAGGGAGCCGAGGGGTTCCGGGAAAACACGAGGTGTTCGCAGAGAGCCGAAGAAAGCGCTCCGGGAAGAGCCGATCAGAGCCGGAAAGGGCCGATCAGCTCCGGACAGAGCCGAGCGGCGGGCCGGGTGCCGAGGGCGTGCGTCCCTCTCGGTCCCCTGCAAGGACCCGCCTCGGGCACCGCAAAAATACACAATAACACCGGGAATCGGTTCAAATGCCCCCGCAGGGTGGCGGCGGAGCAGTCCCCGCCCCCTTCTCCGCAGCCAGGGGCGGTTTGGGGCTCAGAGATTTCGAGGCTCTGCACCCCAGTGATGGAGGCAGGTCACCTGTGCACCACCGGCACAGACTAAAACAGCAGCAGCCTCTTTATTTTACATTATTTATATGTAACTTGTTAGCTTTAAAAATATATTTTTCTATATTTCTATCTATCTACAGATCTATAGATAAAACCATCTTTTTAATGGTGGCTGCTTGAAGCAGCGTGCAGTGTCACCCAGCAGCCTGGCAAGGACACAGCAGCAAAAGGCTTGTCAAGGGAAAGCTATTTCTGAAAACCTGATGCATAAATTCAATGGAAAATGAGCCTTTAGCATTAAATTGATGTTTAAAATAGACACGTCAAAGTTCTGCCCGAAAATAATTAAATAATTCGAGCTGAGAGGGCTGGCGAGGCAGCAAGAACGTTATCGAGGCTGGAAGTGGTGAGTGGGTTTGATGGCTGGGTGAGTTAATAACACTTTCTTGGAGTGAAGCACTTCACTGGAGAAGCACAGGCACTCGTGCTGACATCCCACTGCATCCATGGGAACTCCTGTCTCCAAGCAGGAGTCTGACTCACAGCAACTTTGATGCATCTCGGCCCCAAGGCACAGCATCTCCACATCTGAGATGCTCCCCTTTGTCATATTTGATATAAATATGCATGGAAAAAATACCCTGAATATACACACATGACCTCATTTGCACTGCATCTTCATTACAGCAGCTGGCCAACATCCAAACCTGCTAAAATGACAAAAACAAGGCAAACGTTCAGCTCAAGCAGCAGATGCAACTCTAAGCTACATCTAAAAATAAATATTGATTCTTTGGGAGCACACACATTATTCAATTAGAAGTTCTTGTCAGTATTCCTGAAACAAGTAAAGAGCATCCAGAGGCAGGAAAAGGATACCATGTTTGTTTAGAAAAATATATACTTTTATTAGTGCCACAAATGATAAAAACCCCGAGTAGCTGTCAGCAGAAAAGAAGAAAAGTGTTGTATTTCATATATAAATCATCAAATCCCTCCTTGGGTTTGGCACAGGCAGACAATTGTTTCTGACAGACAGGACCAATTAATGTCTTGGCAAAGTGAGTCCCCACCATGATCGTGGATATGCAATGTATAATTAAAACATCCCCACTCAGTATTAAAAAACCCTTTACATTTTCAAGTACATTAAAAAAAGTTGCATTGCTTCTGTTATCTGGAAAAAAGGACACCAGAAGGGTATTTCCAGTTTCCCAGAACAATCACAGGTAACGATCATCTTAAGAATTCAAGAGTCAAGTTTACAAAATTCATGAACCAAATACAAATTTAACTTATTATCAGTCCATTTTAAAGCCAAGGTTACAGTTTTAAAGGCCTGAATTCCAAAGGACGTATTACAACCTTCTATCAGAAATTTCAAGAGCTATACAAAAATCACATTCAGCTTCTCATTATGGCCTCAACTCCGTTTTCTACAGCTTCAAACTGCAGTGCCTCTAGGAAAAACAACCCCCAATCTGGTAAAAATAACATTTTTAACTCGAAACAGTATATTGCCAGAGTTCACAGAGCTGTGAGGTATTTTCACTTCCACGAACAGAACAGCACTGTGCAATTTTTAAGTCCAGGAGCCATCAGGACACTGTATTTAAAGCATCTTCCACGTGTTTAAACATATGAAGGAGAAGTCTTTCATTGCCAATAATTTATTATACAAGAACTTATAAAAATCTAATGCATAGAAAGTCTACAGCAAAACAATCTTCAACAACATAAATCCTCAAGAATTAAAAATTAAGAGGTTGATAAAATATCTTCCTCTCATGCAGGGGGGTGAAAGAAGATGAGCTTTAATGTCCCTTCCAAACCAAACCATTCCAGGATTCTGTGCCCAAAATACATTTTGCCTTTGGGTGTGAACAGGAAGCCAGGTCTGAGAGCACTGACATCCAGGGGACAGCAAAGACAGACCCATTTACGTTCTCCAAAAGGAAGGTGTCAGAATGCCCTTTGGGAGTGGAATTTCCTTCTCCTGTAGACATTTCTAGTGGAGAAAGGCAAATAATAAAGGATAAATGTGTATCTTAATTTGGCATCTCTTCTCAGGAATTTTGATGGTTCTTACTGCACACATTGAAAGCACTGCTAATAAAATCTACCAGAATTAATTTTGAGATGGAAGTACCAACTCCAAAGCTGTCATGCTTTAATATCATAATCTAAGCCAACATTCACAAAGCAATTTAAACAATCAAGTATTTTACAGTTCTGCAAGCTTTATGTAAAAAATATGCAGAACACAGTGCTGAACAAACACTACAGAGAGAGGTTCAAAGAATCACTTCCTTGTCTATCTAATCAGGACAACTGCTAAAAGCAAGAGAGCTGTGACAGAAATGACTCAGCACAATCCTCCTCAACCTGTACATCTCCTCTCACTGAACCTGCTTTACAACCAAAATACATTTTCACTGAGAAAAATCAGATGGGAGGTAAGAAAGTAGCAAGATGTTTGACATCACGACTATCATTAAGGTAATTCAGCAATTTAAAGGTTACAAAGGATGGCTCAGATCACAGTGACAGGGCTGGACTATCAGCTGTGCTGCAAGCAGTGCCTGCCCTGCTATCCAAACGATGCACATGCCCAGTGCAGGGAAATAAAAACCCCAAACCAAAACATCTGCTAACTAAACAAACAAAGGAACCCAACCCCAAACTGCTTTACCTGCACAAAGCTCTTCAGACGTGACAAACAGCCCATCTGGCCAGCGCTGGTCACGGCTTCAATTCTGCACAAACAACAAACAGCACGTTTGGAATCCCCTGGGAAAGATGGGTTTGATTCACAGGTGGGTGTGGGCGTGGATGGCAGAGATTGGAAAAGATGGGTGAGTCATTTAAATGAGCAAGCCCTGACATTCCTAACCCCAGCTGTCATACCTTGGGATATAGGATTTCTGGATGAAGAACATGGTTTTCCAGAACTGAATGCCGTACTGCTTCACCAGAGCGCTGCCACAAACCTAGGGGGCAGAGAGGAACAGAGAGCAGCTCACAGAATTGGGTTTCAGAACTGCAAGGAAGCTCTTCCATGTCAACCACTTCATATTTTATCCTGACATGTAAAGAAATAGACCTACAATCAAACAAGCAAATCTTCTAAGTGCAGTTACTGCTACCACAATTACCTTTAATTCTGGCTCTTATTTAGCAGTCTATATTGAAGGATATAAGATTAACATCCATCAGGCTCTGACCTTTTCAGCCTGAAAAACCCATCCTGTTTTATGAACTAATTTGGCTGGAAGGGCCACAGGACCTCATTACAACGAGCAAACTGATGCCAGGTGCTTAGCAGAACTGATTCTTACAGGACCATGCAACTCTTTCTAAAATATCAGCAACCCTAAATGGAATCAAATACAACAAGAAAAGTTGTGTGTATAAAACCACCAGTTTTTAAATCATTCAGCTCCAAAGCTCTTTTTGCAAGAACATGGAAATATTGAATCTCACCTCAGCAATCCCTAAAATGCCACCAATTTAGATCTCTTTTTAACTACCAGTAGTAATCCACACCACTAACCTCCAGAAAATCCAAGAGCAGCATAGCTGTCACATCTGCCAGAGGCTCCAGATTCAGCATCTGTGCAAGCCAACGCCACCCATAGCTCAGACCATGAGGATGTGCCTATAAAGCAACAAAGAAGCTACTCAACACTTGCTCTGCCTCTTGCAAAACACTATTATCAAACACAGGCAGTTTCCTGGTTTACTTTTTTCTTTATAAAGTTATTTTACAATAGCCTGACGTAAAATTTGATCGGTGTGAAAATACAAAGAAAGGAAGTTAAAGTCAACGAATAACTTGGCATTGCTTTGTTCATTTTGACCACCTCCCTTCAAACACATCCTGAGCTGGTTCAAGTTCAGCACACCTTCACTACAAAACATTTTCATGGACTCCTGGGATAGGAACAGGCTTCTAATTATAATGCCACCCACATACCCCCTGCTTGTTTCCATAAGGCCACCGGAGCTGAATGATGGCAGCGTAGAGACGAATCATTCCTGACATCCTTTTGAGAAAATGATCTTGTTCTTCCACCTTAGAATCGTGAACTTCATAGCCAAGCACCCTAAAGTATGAGAAGACATTCCAATATTAGTACAGCAAAACACACTCACTGGAGTGCCTGCAGCTGTCAGCTTCCTTCAAGTCAACTGCACGGAGAGCAGGGATTCTCTAAAACCACCCAGGAATTACTGCAAAGGCCAGGGATAAATTTACCTCTGATACTCCTCCATGGAAGTCCCCTCTTTCCTGGCAGGGTAAAATGGCACAGCATATGGGCACTTCTTGTGCAGATGAGCTAAAAAGATGTCTCCGACTCGAGGGTGCAATTCCCAGATTCCCGAGAGCACCACAGCAATCGGGAAGGCTGAATCCCTGTGAAAAGACACTTCTCCTTCTCCGTGTTTCTGGAGGGGGGGAAAAGGGAAAGTCAGTCCCTACCCTTTCAAGTCATTTCTCAGGCAAAAAAAAATTCCTTTCGGTTTTGTAATTCATCTCTGCTAAAGGATCCCGATGTTTCCATGGCTATGAAGCCAAGGATAGAAAAGCTGATGAAGCCCCACGTCCTGAGCTCCCACAGAGGGATGACAATAAACTCTGGCTCAGGAGAGAAAAAAGGGCTTAGCAAACACAGGCCCAAAGTGCAGCCTGCACAGATATCCTCCCTCCAAACAATCATTTCTCAAATGTTAACAACTCAGCCACAGTTTTACTCCATGGGCTGATTTTTGCATATATTTTCCCTGCAGGGATAAAAGCTTCAAACAGCCCAAATTTAGGAAATAAAGACAAGAGAAAAATACTGCTAACTTCCTTTAAACTATGACACTTCATTTCTTGGGAGGTGCAGAACACAGCACGGACTGAAGTTTGTCTCGAGCCTTAATGTTTTTTTGTCCCCAAAATTCTGTCAAGACCCAAGGGTTTGAGCCTGTATACAGCTTTGTGATGGATCATAAATTAACTATCAAACTGCTTTCCACTAACACTGCACCTACCTAGTTCAGAATATATAAGACTATATATAAGAATATATAAGCTAATGAAAATATGAAAATAAATAAGAATATATAAGCCTGAAACTGAGAAGTTTTTTCTCCTAGAAGAGATAAAATAAGGGATGGGGGAGAAACTGAGTTCTTTCATTTTTTTACTACACACAAACTAAACACCTAGTGATTTTGTTCTTCACAGCTGACAGAGTTCAGTGTCTAAAAGCATCTCCCAGAGCACTGCCTGCCTGGGCCACCCCCACCAAGAGATCTCCTCACCACAAATTTCTCTGCCAGTTTGTAATAAACGAACTCCAGCCCCTGTGGATGCTGAGCCACCGACACCGCCTGCCCTTCGGTCTGAACAGCCTTCCCAGACAGCAGGTTATTGATCTTGTCAAACACCTCTCTCAGCTTAGAGCCTGCAGATCCAGAAGGAAGGGATGGAGACAGAAGGTTAGGAAACAGCAGATGAGTCTTACTCAGACCACGTCGAGTTCCCAAACACCAGACCCACATCCTGAAAGGCATCTCCAACAGCACCTCTGTTCCACCTGACTAACCAAACTTAACCCTGCTGGAGCAAGATGACTCTGAGGGAAGCAAGAGACCTCCAAAACACAGGTAAATGCTGCTGCACAGACTGGCACTGCACACAGGCCAGCTCTCTGCTGCAGGGATGATTACAGGAACACCGGCTATGCTGTGTCCTGCTAAAATCTTTACGGTAAAAGGAATTCCAGTGGGATTGAGCTCTCGGCGTTCTCCTGACCTGATATGCTGGAGATCTGGCTCACAGGGATTGTAGCAGCTTTCTGCAGGTTTGTTTTTATCTTCTTCACCTGCAGAACGAACAAACAACTTTAAAATCCTTTCCAGACAAGTACATTACTAGGATAGTTTGGATGAGCAGACTGGTAACAGAGGCTGCTACATTAGACTTTTTCTTTTTAAAATGAAAGCTGTCCTACCCTCTTTCCCCTTGAAACTAAAATAATCTCTCTTTGACAGTATTAATAATTTGTTCCTACCTCAGTGTTGCTTTTGCAGTTTCCAATTTCACTGAAATTAGCAACGCACTGCTCAGCAGCATCTTGAAGCTGCTGGTACCACTGCATGATACTTTCCTCTGTTTTAACTTGAAGTCCTGCAATTAAAAAAAAAAAAATCAAAAAAGACAATGACTAAGAAAGACCTAAACCTCTAGTGAGAAAACTTGTTTTAGAATAATGCAAGGAGCAAAGCTGCATGAGTGCTTTTTTTTCCCCTATTTTAGAAAGTTATGCTCATAAATGAACTAAAAGTTTGCAAACCATAGAGGAGTTCTCCAGCTCAGTAGCTTAGGATACCTGGACTTCACTTACTGTCCAGAAGAGTCATTTCATTGGCCTGGCCTTGTATGTTCTGTCAATCATGCATGAGCCATCTACACTCACAAGAAGACATTTTCCAGTACATGCTACACTGTCCAGAAAGAAGAGGTTTTGCTCCAGCTAACACAGTCATTTTATGCTGCAGCAGTTCAGTTTCAAGAGTTTTCTGCCAGCAGTCCTACACCCACTCTGACAGTTGGGCTAAAAGTAAAGGCTATGGGAAGGTGTGTTTCCACAACACAAACATTTCAAAGCACTTATTTAACCCAATGGGAAAAGACTGAAAAGAGGGAAAGGAGGCAAAGAAATAAAGATTAAAAAGAAGCCCCACCAACCTTCCTTCTGCTGCTTTCCCCCCGACTGCTGCGCAGGGGCAGGAGTCTGACTCTTCATCTGCTCTTTCTTCTCTAATTCCTTCTGCTTTTGTCTCTCTTCCTCTTCATCTTTCCTCCTTTTTTCTTCCAGGGCTGCAGTGATTTCCTGCTGCATGCTGGAGATCAACCCCCGCATCTCCTGCAGGGCTCGCTCAGTGCTGGCCACGTCTGCTTGGGTAGGGAAACCTCTCTGGCAAAACCAGAGGAGGGAACACAGCATTAACCACTGTCTGTGGAACAACTGCAAGAGCAAGGAGCCCTTGAAGCATCAGCCTTCACATAACCTGGGAGCCAACTACACATTTCATGCCCATCTCCTTTATTGGTACAAAATGTTGGTCAGAATATTTGTAAATAATGTCAGTCCGTGACGAGATCTCTTAAGGTCTTGGACAACAAGAATTATTAACACACTTGGACAAATGCAAGTGAACTCCAGTGAAAAGCCTTGACAGTTTCCTCTGCAGAAAGCCAGCTATGACAAACTGGAACAAAGGATTGGCCTTATTAGTGTTTTATTTGTTAAGGTTTGTATCCCACCCCAGAGAGAAAAAACGTCAAGGAAACCCAGTTACTGCAAAAGGTTTTTGAGTACAGGAGAATCATAAGATGGTTCATGAATTGTTAAATACTGAACATTTCATTGTCTCAAAAAGGAACGTTACAGCACCAAGACTTTAGAGTCATTTAATTGACTCTTTCTCCTGCAGAAGTCCTCATGCATTTTTATAAGCCACTTTCAAGAGAACAGCTGAAGTGCCACAGAAAAGAACTCCCCTTTGAAATTAGATGCTTTATAGGGTGAATCTAAAAACACTGCTGTGACATCTTATTCAACGGCCTCCTGACAAGCTGCTTTTGAAGACAACTGCAGGAAAGTTTACGAAGGAACAACCGAAGTCAAGCACGACTGCAGAGCCTGTACCTCACTCGTGGAGCGGATGAGCCCTGACACCAGCCCACAGATCTGGTTGCCACGATTGCTGTAGGCAGACAGGTCGATTCTGGGCAAGTCTTTGTGCCTGTAGTTGGGATCAATCTGCTGGTTGAGCTGCAGCAGCTCCTCCTGGATGGAGTAAAGGCGGCGCAATCTTTCCTGCCCCTCTTCCTTGCGCAACCGCTCCAGCTCTTCCTGGCGCTGCCTCTGCTGCTCCGCCTCACGCAGTTTGAGGTTCAGTATCTGGGGAGAAAGAGACACAAGGGTCACAAAACATTTCAGGAACCCCAGCTTTACAGCTCTTTCCTGGTTTCCTGACTCCAGCCTTGCAGGGTCTCCCTGCTCCTACAACACAAATGCTTTTACTGCATTTCCACACCGCAGCAGGTGCCCAGGTCAGCACCAGGAAATCCATCCTCCCACCAGGGTGCCATGGAAATACAGATAAATCGATTGGTCTTTCCAGTTCCCAGCCCCAGTGGTCATGGTCTTGCATGAAAGAGAGTGCTTAAAAGCCTCAGACCTTTGCTCTGTGTCGGTGTTCTTCCTTCAGCTTCTCTTGCTGCCCCTGAGCTTCCTTTGAGCTACGAGACAAGTGAAGAAAGAAAAACTGTATTCAAGATATGCACCAGAGAAAATATGAACAAACACACAACAATTTACTCTTAAAATAAGCTAAAGGAACTCTAACTGTCACAAATACTGTCGTTTTCTAACCACTGAAACCTCAGTGGTAACCAGAGATCTACTCTGACAACCTGTAACAGGACAGTTAATGCAAGACAAGCAGCAGGTGAAATTTTCATCTACAGGGGACCAGCACAGAACTGTCAGGCACAAGAACTAATCCTCACTTTGATTAAATGCTAGACTATTTCAAGGATGCCAAGCCAATCTCACCTCTTCTCCATTACTTCTTGCAACTCTTGGAACTCCTGATGCCGCTTCAGCTCCCGCAGTTCATCGAAGCGCTTCAGCTGCTCGCTGGCCTGGGCATAGGCTGCCCTCACCATCTGCTCCTGCTCCTCCTGCCTGTGCCTCAGCCTCTCCTGCATTACAGAGGGGCCAGAATTGCAGAATTTGAACACAGGAAAATCCAAACTAAATTGCCCTCAGTGGGCCAACATTTAGGATAACTTACTGCACTGATACACCTGGCAATGGAGCTCTGCTGGGATTCTCACACACCCCCTCAGCCTTTCTTGACTTACCTTTGCTTTCAACCTGTGTATCTCCTCATACATCCGAATGCAGCCTTCGACTTTTGCAACTTTGGATGAGAGAACTGCCGGAGAGACTTCCTGATCCACTCCCAGGGGACTGAGATGATCATTTCCCTGCGTGGTCACAGTGAAAGCAAAGTCAGTGACCAAGCACAGGATCAACAACTCACAGAGAAAACAGATAAATCAAGTCCCCACAACTATTATTTGTTGAGAAACAGACAAAAGGGTCAAGGAATGCATGATTTTTAGAGCAGTTATGTATCCCAGTAGTGCAGCCACACCATTTTGAGTATCCTCCAGCATGTTTATGAGGCTGGGATGATTACTTTTCCAATCACTGAGACTGGAAGCAGAGATACCAAGAGACTCCAGGACATTCACAAAGGCCAATCAGGACATTCACCTGGAAAGCCTAGACAAACCCTCCACGTTGTCCTAACACCCAGGAAAAATGTTACACTGGAAGAAGTCGAGACGGGTTTATACTCTGAATCATTCTTCAGGAGGAGCCTTCAAACTCTCTCTTAATGCTAAAAGAAGTTAAAACTAAGCATCTTTCCCTTATAAAACGGAGCACAAACCAGCCTTAATCAATTTACGGCAGCAAGTCAGCACGTTTTTTCTCACAGCTGCTCCATAAGCATATGGATTGCACTCAGAGAGGTACCTTGGTCTCACTTGGCTCCGCGGAGGAGGGTGGTGAAGAGCTCCGGTGGCTGCCAGGCGGGACCCCGTCCGCGGATGCCCGTTTGGAGAGAGGCGTGGATTGTTTGGGCGTGGAAGTCCCGGAGGGTGTGATTTCTGGGGCTGCCTGCCCACTGATGCTGTCCAGGACCCAGCCGCAGTACGGGGAGAGTTCAACGGGAGCCACACACCCTTCCAAGGCAGCCTGGAGAGAAAACAAACCCCGTGAGCGCGAAGCACACCGAGACAGCAATAAAACTTTAACACACCGCGAGCACACCTGCACCGCCACCAGGCGCTTTATCACCGCACCTCAGCACCCCACTAACCCCCTTTCTCACGGTGTTCTCCCCACACTTTTCCCGAGCTCCCCTACTCTTCAGGACGCCTGAACCCCCTCGGGTCAGCCCCGCTCCCTGACCGCGCGCCCCGGGGATGTTTCAAGCCCTCACCTCATCCTCCTGCCAGTGGCGGCAGTAGCTCAGCTGGCCCTTGCTGGAGAGGCGCAGAGCCTCCAGAGTGTCGAAGCGGAGCTGCCACGACTCCATGGTGCGTGTGTGGCCCGGCCCGGGGGTCCCTCACGGCCCTGGGTCCCCTCACGGCCCGGCCGGGCCCGCCCCGCCTCTTCCGGGCCTTGTGCTGGGCGGGAAGGCACGGCGGGCGCCCCCTGGCGGACAGGCGGGGCCCCGCCCGGTGCAGCAGCCGCGGGTTCGAGTCCCGCTCCCGGCGCCTCCCGTGAGGGACGAGCCCAGAGAACGAACCGGGAAACACCCCCAGATTCACCGATTTCCCACTTATTTTGTTTATCTCACGAGCAGGGAGAGGGCTCCACCCGCGAACCACAGAAACACTTAGGAATTCACTTGCCTGCACCCAGGGATGCGTTTGCTTTTCCAAAATCAGAACCCAGACGCATCGCACAGAGAGCAAACCCCCGCCGTGAAAATCTTATTAAACCAGTTAAAATCTACTTTATTGTTTTACCATAGCACCTTTGGGATTTTTTGAAGTGTTAAACACACAATTACAGTTCTCGCCAAAAAATGATTCATTTAGAAAAGTCTTATGACAAAACAGTGCCAAATGACCACATCACATCGCACATAAATAGGATACGAAAGGGAGAAAAAAACCCACAAGGTTTATTTTTGTCCCCGTAAGAACCGTTTAGTGGAAACAACAGGGCACTAGAGAGCACGTGGATTTTAGAGATTTGACACACCAAAGACCTGATTTTCCAGGAGAAGGTTCAGGAGAATCTGATGAAATTTGAGTATCTGCAGCTGCTCCTTAACTGGCTTAAAACCAAGTTAGGGTTCACATCCTGAACTTGAGCGGCATTCCCACCAAGACCCCAACTGAAGAGACACTGAGGTTAAAACCACAATCTCTCCTTCAAATTCAGATTGTTTTGGCTCTGTCCTGGGGGATTCTGTGATAATCAGGATCAGAAAATCAGAGTGAGAGGAGCAAAGCAACATTAGCATCACACTCAGAAATAAAGGTAAGCATCAGGGAGTATATAAGAATCAAGTTTAAAAAACTAAACCAAAATCATTATTTCTGGTATAAAACTGTTACAAACACTGTGGTTGTGCAGGAGATAATGTCTTGTGTGTGTGGAGCCCAGGCACATCAGTTATTTTCAGCTTCACACCTCTGGTGGGTGGAACCTCTCCCACCAGCCCATCATCCAACGTATCAATACAGTGTTCAATAGTTTAAAAAACTGATTAAAAAAACCCCACAAACAAAATTCCCCACATCGTCCCCACATGATCTTCCCAACAGAGAAACCCAATAAAAAGTGAAGCACAAAAAGAGCTCTTATAAAAATTAACACGCCTCAACAAATCTCTGACAGGCTTCAAGAGCTGAAAGCATCAGATCCTTACAGGATGAAAATGATCTTTTCCATCTTTTGCAAAACCACCTGGTTTTGGGGCTCAGTTTATGGTGCAACACCAACCTCCAACGCCAAACCAGTATTGCTGATACCCCACGTTTTGAGCAGGTGCCACCACCATTTTATTGTCTCGTGCTGCTTGGAAAAAGTCCTCTGACAGTGACCCTGGAATACCATCCTGATTTCTGTCTCAATATGGCTTTGAAACAACGTTCCTCCTGTGCTCCAAAGAGGTGCAAGGGGAGCGCTGCCCTCAGAGGGGAGAGTGAGAGCGGCCAGGGAAGCTCAGCACGGCCCCTTCCCTGAAAACGTTGTCATAGGAAGACTTGAGGAAGTGCACGTAGTTCTGCATGCTCCGGTTGGTGCTCTCCGACTGCTCCAGCCGATCCCTCAGGTCCTGGAGGCGGCTCTCGTAGCGGCGCTGGGCCTGCACAGGGGAGCACGGAGCACAGCCTGAGACACAGCCACGTCCACCCTGCTCACCTCAAACCGCTCCCCCAGAGTGCTGAGCAGAGCCAGAATCAGCACAGCAGGAGATGGCCTTGCCATAGATGGTGCTGTGATATTTATAATTCCTTCTGCTCATTTCCAACTCCATTCAGCAACGTGCTGATAAAAACCAGGAGAAAACGTGGCTAATCAATCAGGCTTTTAAAACTCGTTAGCTGTAGTTATGGGGAATTAAAAAGCAGCATGACCTGATCCATGAGCCAATACAATTCCAAGTAAAACTCAAGCAAGCAAGCAGGGTAAATAGGAATCACAAAAGATTCCCAGGCATTCTTCTAGAGGAAATCCCTTCCTCTAAAAGAGAAATTGCATGCTCTCTCAGATAACCAAAACGAAGTTGAAATCTGTTCACGATACCTGGTGCAAATCTGCTTTGAACATAAGGGAGGTCTGATTCTTCTCTTGCACACACATAACTTCACATCAGGTTCATTCAGATCATTGTACTCTCATTTGCCCACCACTTATTGCACACTCCTGAATCAGTCACACATCTGTGACGGACATGCACACCAGCACATCACATTCAGGCACAGCTCTGCGTGACCTCTGCAGCCCATCCAGAGGATTGGTTTATGGGCTCCAGTGGCTGCCAGGACACCATCAGCACACCAAGAGTATCCCCCCCAGGTCACTCACATCCTCTTTGCTCCGACGCAACTGGTTCAGCTCTGTCTTAGTCCTGCTCAGCTGGGTCTCCAAATCCAACAGCTTGCACTGGGCTGCTCTCTCTCTCGAGATCGCTCGTTCTCGAGTTTGTTCCACCTACATACAACAATAACTGTTAAAGGGTTGGCTATGGAAGAGTGTTTTTTCCTACCCCGTTGCCCACAAAAGCCCTGTAAAGTTTAACTGACACAAGCAGCAGCTCAGCTTTGTGCTTTTCTCTCTCCTGTTGCAAACCTGAGTTCGATCTTTCAACGTTTTAAGTGCTGACAAACAGCGCCAGCCCATTATTTGTATCTCACTGAACACGAGGATTCTAATGGTTTTGGTTCCCCTTTCGCAGCTTGGTGAATTCCCAAACAGGAGGAGCTACTCACTTGTTTTTTGGCATCATCAATGGCCATCTCCAGCTGCCGTGCCAAGGAGCTGCACTCCCGGGTCTTCTCCTCTAAGCGCAGCTGGCACTGGTGGATCGACTCCTCCCGCTTTGCTATGACCTGAAGGAATTCTATGTTCTGGGCACTCGTGGTCTCTAGTTTTCTAGTTTAAGACAATAAGGGAAGGAAACCTATTCATTTTAAATGGAGTGTGTTTCAGTCTGCCTTTTTGTCAGGTCCCGACTCCTCTGGTAACAGATTCCATTCCCCACACAGAGGTGAGAGCCTCAAGAAACGCTTCTTCGGTCCTCAAATGGAAATTTCTAAGACTGAAGGACCTGCAGAGTACCCACATACCTGCATTTTCTCAGACACTGTCACTAAAAGAAATTTATAAACACAGGTCAAAATACTGTACTATGTAGTAACCTCAAAATTGCCAGGCTAGATTGGGCAAGGAGCTGCTTTCTCTTCTCTAAGCCATCATCCTGTCTAACAACATTCACAACACATGCTGCTGCAAAAACACATAACTCTCAGTGGACAGCTACTGATTAGAGATCCTTGTGGGATAAGCAAATGCACAGAATCCTGGAGGCATGTGAGGAACCAGAACAAGACTGAAGGTGTTTCAATCCCCTGTAAAAACAATGGAAATGAAAGGTTAAAAATGCAAGAGAGCCTAATATTTCTAACCTTTCTAGCTCCTCCACCTTCAAGGTGAGTTGCTTTTTCTCCTCCTGGGCAGACTGATATCTCTCTCTTGTCATCTCCATTTTGTCCCCCTGGAGCTCAATCTAAAAATTACAGGAATTAATTACTTCACAGAGTAGTCACTACACACACATGACCAATCACCTAGAACATACGAGCCCTCAGAAGGAAACATGCTCAGTTCATTATTTCTAGAGGGCTCCAGAAGAGGAACACTGAACAGAAAAGCACTAAACATCCATTTTGCTGGTGCTTCCAGTTAAAGTCTGGAAAGGTATAGGAAAACTCTTCCAAAAGAAAAGCCAGGCCTGTAAATTCCTGCAAGCACAGCTAAGCACACAGAGATGAACAGCAGCCATAAACATGCCAGCAGCCCACAAAGGCATCAGAGCCAGAAACACCAGGAAGGTTTATAATTCCAAATCAAGCAGACTAAAGCGGTCAGATAGAGATCACGGGCTGTGTCTTGAGGCACAGCTGCAGAAATCATCCCTGGCTGAAGTTGCCCTGCAATACCTCCAGTCTTCCTGGGGACAACAAACAGGGACTGGGAAAACCACGTGAAACCAGAGTGAGAAAACGAGGTTGGGACAGCACCATCAGCAGCAAACTATGGGAGGAGAAGCTCACAAGATGATGGAAGTAACAGAAGCAAGCGCTGGCATTAGCAAGTGCTGTCACTTGCTGCTATTCACATCCCAGTAAGACGCTGCACCAGGGCACGAGAACCCTTTCAGATCTTAAGGAATGCTCCCAGCAAAGACACGTAACTTGTTGCACAGAGACATGGCACACACCTTTATTTTGCAGTGCACGTTTAATCTTTTCAAAGAGAGACGAGAACAGAGCCGAAGTCTGAACCTTGCTGTGATTAGAAATTCATCTCGGTTTCAGAGTTGAGGATTGCACTGGTATGGGCACTTTCTGCCAGTCCCTTACCATCTGCCGGAGATCTGCAATCATGGCACACAGGTCCGTGTTCTTCTTCTCGTAACTCTGGAGCTGCTCGTGACATTGGGCCAGCTGCGTCTCTGTGTACTTCAGGAGCTCAGGCAGTTTCTCCAGTTCAGCAAGCTGGTTCTGGAACTTCTTCCGTGTCTGTAAGCACAGAAGAAAACATGAGGAACTTTCCAACGTTCCTAAGGTCAAGACTAGAAAATTTCCCAACATCAGCAAAGCTTTGTTAGTCCACAACAGCGATGACACTGTGTGGATATTTGGCCAGTGATGCAGTTCAAAGCCTAAGGTCTTCTCCTACTCCTTTCACTTAGGATTTGGCATTCCCTATGGATGGTGTGAGAATGAGTATTTTAGATCCTGGGCTTCAACTAGCAACACAAGGTCTTTCTTTGAAGCCAGCTGTGTCACATCAGACTGTGGTGTAACCTACCCAGTCCACTGTTTTAAACCACTATTTCTGCAGCAAAGGACACACTGAATAATTAAAACATGTCTGAAGAATGCCATACAGTGAAAAAGAAGCTGCTGAATGTTCATTCTACAAAAGTTATTGAAGAAATCCTGAGAAAAACTAATGGAAAAGGCAAACTGCAAATAAGCCTTTTATTTCCTATTCACAGCTGGTTTTCACTACATTCAGAACCCCAAGATCCATGAATGTCTGTAACATGACTTTAGAGGAATAGTTACCATTTCAAGCTCCTGGTTCATTTCGTCCCTTATTGCCCTTTTCTCTTTCTCAGCCCTCTCCAGTCTTGCTGCCAGTTCATTCGCTTCCTCTCGGGCCTTCAGTGCCTGCACATTCAAAAAACCCCAGACTTTATCTGTCACATATGGTTATATACAATTATACATACAGTTATATGTTATATATAAATGCCTTGAGTAACTAAAACTGTTGGATTTGGATGGTTAAGGCATTACAAAATAAGCCCCAGTGGAGGGAGAAACCCCCTTTGTGCAAGGGCTGCAGGTTCTGAGGCCGAGCCCACCTGTGCTTTGTAGGATTCAATCATCTCCTCGTAATTCCTGATAGAGCTCTGGAGCTGCTCCACTTCCATCTCTGCTTGGGTCATCTTGTCCTCCATTGGGGCAAGAGCAGCCTGAAAAAAAGCAAACATTTTCCAGTACCTGCCACATGAGCTGTCTAATGTTGTCCAGACTAAGAAAATAAGACTTTTGTCCACTCAAATTGCCAAAACTTTCCAGACTTCAATGGATTGCCAAATTTACATCAGCAGAGCACAGGGGTTTGAGATGGATGTGATGTGCAACCTTTGCATTTCCAGTACCTGTGCAACTTGGATTAGGGACAAATTATTTGTATAAATTCCAAGCTATACAAGAAGAAAATTATGTAGGTGATGCACAAGATCACCAGTGGTGAGGGACAAAGAGGAGAAACATGCCAGCCACTTGCTCTGTTCTGGAGATTACCATTCTCTTTGTTCCCTGCTCATCAGCACAAAGATGTAAGGACAAGATTTAAGATCCCAGCTAGAAGAAACAGTACTTGGACTGCAGATTCTCCTGGCCAAAATGTGGAAGGAACCCACATCTCCCACACTGGGCACTTCCTCTGGCTCCTCCCAGCACACCTGCCCTGTACTCAGGTTATGTGAAACTGGTTGGAAACCGAATAGGGACAGTGGGTGCAATTCAACTCTGTCCTCAGCAGCCAAGCAAGCTGTTACAATTTCTCCTCCTTTTCCTCCCAGCATTAGATCTTCAAACCCTCAGAGTCACTGACCTTTAGTCTTTCATTCTCCTTCCTCAAAGAATTGGCCTCTCCAGCCTGTTGATGCAGTTTATCCATCAAAGCTTGTCTGTCGTCCCGCATTTTTTCCTCTATCTTTGCCAGTTGTTCCATCAAGTCTGCAACACGGCTGCCACACAGAGAGAAAATGAATCCTTAAGTGGCAAGAATAAGACTCTTAACCCTTGAAAACTAGCTTCAGAAACATGGATTTTCCCTATCATCTTCCTCCTCCAGTCATGTATGCACATTTCCTATTACGCTGTTCTACTACCTCAATCTTTTTATATTTCCTAGAAATTAACTGGAGTTGTCCCCCTGGAGCTCAAAGAATTGTCTCAAAGATACACAGGATAAAGAGGTACCTCTCTCATCTCACATCTACCTACTTTTTCCTGCAGCAACAACTGTACTGCAGTGACACTAACACATTTATTTACCTTCACAGCAAAATTTGCATCAACTATACTGCTGATCTCTTTTAATGTCTTCCATTCAAGTTTCTCAAACAGATCTCAGAAGAAAAATAACCTTAATTCTTTCAAAGTATTGCAAAATGGCAAAGGAACAGAGTTTTAAGGGTCAGCAAACCCTTAATGAGTCTGCCTTTGCTGTAGCAAGTCAGCAGCAGAAATCACATCTCTCTCTCCACCTCTCCCAACTCTGCTCTAGCCCTCAGGCAGTGCTGGTTTTGCTTGGTTATTTACAGGCCATCCCATTAAATTATTCATTTCAATGCTATTACTCAATTGAATGCAACGAAATTACCCCTGAACTTTGAGCTCATGCCCCCTCACACTTCTTTCCCCACACTGATTTTATTCTAACCTTCTCAGTCCAACAATTTCCATTTCGAGGTCACCCTTGTCCTTTATTGCTTTGTTGCAGTGATTCCTCCAGGACTCCAGGTTGGACCGGGCCTCAGAAAGAGCGTTGTCCTGTCAGACACGGGAAACACATGAGGAAAAGAGCACAAAAACCCTCCCTGGATGTGGGATATGCAGGCAACACACAGAGATGTCCTTAACTTGCAGGCACAGCCGAGCACGCTGGATTTGTTCTAAACTTGGCATAAATGGGCCAAGCGTCAAGACAGAAATAAATCTCATTAGCTGGAAGCAGAGAATCTCCCCAGGGCTGCTATCAGAAGTCAAGAATTTAGAAGCATGACCTGAAAGGAGGCCTCTGCCCCTGATTTAGAGGTACCTTTTCTGTCAGCTGGGCAGTGAGTTTCTGCACATACTCCTCACTGCGCTCCGCCCTCTCCTTCTGGGCACGCACAGCTTTCTTCAGGGCCTCCTTGTCACCATCTCCCTTCTGCCTCAGCTCTTTCAGCTGGTCCATGGCAAGTTCCAAATCTGCCTTAAGCTGAGCTTCGTTGCGCTCCAGGTTCTGCAGGGGGAACAGAACACACCACGTGGATTTGTGCCTGCAGATTGTGCCTGCAGATTGCACCGGTAAAGCCAAAGCAGCAACTGATTTCCTAGGAATGGTGGTGAGAGCCAGGCACAAACCCCCAGCCTTCAGCCTGGAGGTGTCTGCAATCAGGTTTCACCTACACAATCCTGTCCCAATGCTGAGAGATGGCAGTTTGATGTCTTCCTTTTATGACAAGACTCTGCCCTTCTTTCATAAGCTGCTCCCTAAAATACTGATTTCCTCTCCTGACCAAAATAAATACTGGTCTAACAGTCTTTAGATCTACCTGAGAACACTCTTTTTATTAACTGAAATGTTTGCAGATAATAATGTTGCTTTATGCAGCTATTACTAAAAACAGATTCAAGCCCCTCTAAACCATTAACACATTTATGCTCCTCGTAACATCATCCCAACGCCAACAGATACATTAAATATAAAACTCTGAACAAAATAAACCAGAGGAACTTTCTCCTCCTCGTTAATGCTGTAGAAAACATGCATGAGTGTGATCAAACTGAAACTCATGGCACAGCATTTTTCCCAGAAAGCAAATTAAATAGTTTTCAATTTGTCTTGACACTTGACTAAACCAAAGCCACCTTTTAAATACCTACGTAGTAATTAACTCAGGACAACGAAAATCTAATTAATGCACATAGACCTTAAGGCTAAGATTTTGCCTCATGCCTCGAAGATGAGAAGATTTCTCTTTTCTTATGTCATTTGAAAATGATGTCGTGTGTTAGTGGCACAAACATCACCAGCCAGTAAATACTTCAGTCAGTCAGACTCGGTGAGATGTTGGTGCTCCTTCCCTGGTGAGTGAATTGAGCCCAGGAGAGTAAATGAATTGCCAGTCCCTGGGAGCAGGGGGGACGTACCCGGAGCTGTGTGGTCAGACGGTTGTTCTCAGCTTCTTTGCTCCTCAGCTGGGCTTGAAAATGGGCTTTTACAGTCTCCAGAGTTTTGGAGAGCTCAGCTACTTTCCTTGCCTGCTCCTAGGGAAGAGGGAACAAGACATAGCTAAGAGAAGGAATGCTTCATAACCTGCAACAGTGTCAGATTTCTCCACTGAATGATCCCCAGCCACCTGCACTTTCCTCAAGGGACCCTCCCAGCTCTCCTAGTCCAATCAAATGGGGAGCAAATGAGCAGCCATTTATTCTGCACCAGATGGGAATGACTGGCCTGGCAGATACGTTCTAGGGCAAAATATTCTTCACATTTGATCTCTTCCATTGCACTCCCCTTTTACTTCCTAACCAGAGGAACAGACCCGAATTTGTCATTGGGAATCAACAGGACTTTAAACAGAATGGCAATTTACAGCCCAAGCCCAAAGGGAATTCATATCCATCCTTGTGACAGGTGTCGTCTTAGCAGAGTAAGGAGCCCACAACTGTGTGGGAGTTGGCATCTGTCTGTCTAGTTTTATAAGCAAGCTAGTCATCTGATCTCTTAAAAAGTAAGTCTGCAAACACAATCCCCTATTTTGGATTGTCTGTGGTTCTACAGAACTGGAAGGTGGAGAAGAGAGGGAGAAACAGAAAAAGGAAACTACCTTTTCTGCCTGTATCTGACGGGCGAGGCTTTCCACTTCTTTCTCTTTCTCCTGAAGCTTCATTTGAAGTTGCTGGGAAAACAAAACACCATTCAGATGTTCAGTAACAAACACATTTAGGATGGCAGGTGGAAGGCAAGAGGTGTAAGTGCCTCCTTCCCACGACCCTGTGATCCATGGCACTGTCTGGTACCCACAACAACAGCATCCTCATCCCCAGAAAAACTGGCTGCATTCTCCTCAAGCAGGAAGCAAAAGGGATCCACAAATGTGTGTGTAACAGGGCAGAGGATACCCAGGGAAGAAAGGAGCTGACAGGATATACATTCCACAGACTGCAAATGGCTCACAGCAGGTTTCATAACTTCTGGCAATAGATAAACAAATTCTTGTCTCAGTTCAGAGATAAAGAAATGAACAAAAACTGGCACAGGGTCACTCACTCATTCAGTGACAGAAGCTGACACAAAAAGCCTTCCCTACTCTAAGCTCCATATTTCAAAGGCAGTGAAAATCTATCCAATTTGAAATGCAGATTGTTAATCAGAGGAGAAATGTAGTGGCTCTGATGATCACCAAAGCTAAAATAATTTTTTATTGGTCTAAATGGCACTACTGTAAGATTTGACAGAAGAAAAAGAATGGTTTTATAATTAGAAAGGAAAAAAAAACCAGAGTGTGGTTTGCTTACCATGTTCTCTGCATCTGACTCAGCCAGCCTTTTCAGCAGCACTGCTTGCCGATCCAGGATCTTCTGGTGATCTTTCTACAGAATAAACACGTGAGGAAAATGGTTAACTGAAACAATTTTATGCAGATTCTTTAAATGGAATTGGGTAAATCAACCACTTCCTCCCAGTTGCAGCAGTAATTCTTAGAAGATATCCAGAAGCATCAGATATGCTAAATATTTCATGTGTCATTATCCATGTCAGAAAGCTTTTCCTCTTCATCAAAGGTTAAAATACAAAGCATGATGGCAATGTGAGATTCTTCTGAACTCTCCCACTACTCAGGGAAAGTCATGTGGAAGAATTCAGACCTTTTATCCAGCCTCACTGGTGGCTGAGATAACTGTTACCATCAGCCTGCTTTTGCTGAAATGGAATATAAACCACAGAAGGAACAGCAATTTCCTTTCTGCATTGCTCTTACAAGCAATATAGAGAAGTTCTGTACAAGCAGCACAGAACTGTTTACAATTTCTCTGTTATTGCTCTCAGAGCCTACCAAAATAAAGTTCTGAATATCCATTAGCTGAGGCCACATCAAGCCCTCATTCTCCAGGCAATGCAAGTGTAGGAGAACCACTTTGAGACCAGCAGGATCAGCAGATAGAGCCAGATCCAGAGGAGACAGAGTTGGCAACACAGCAGAACCTGAACCTTTTAACACAAAAACTCAGAGGCTCTAACATCCTCACAGGAGACCAAGTATGATAAAGAACAAAGCAAACAAAAAAAAACCCTACTCCACATTTATAGGTTGACAGGGTCAACAGTAGGGCTGGGAAAAAAAAAAAAAAAAAAAAAAGAGTTAAAAAGCTTTCAAACTCCAAATTCCCTTTCAGCCAGAGACAGCAGAGCCTCCTGTGAGGAGCCAGGTGCTCACCTCCCGGTTCTGCTGCTCTGCCAGCAGCTCTCGCAGTGTCCGGTTGGTTTCTTCAAAGGTGCTCAATTTCTGGAGCAGCAGCTCCTTTTGTCTCGTCAGAGCACTGATGTCTGTGCTGCTCATGTGCTTCTCCTGGAGAAAAAACCAACAAAAAGCCACAAATAAACAAACAAAACAAACAGCCAAAACCTAAACCCCCCAGACAAACAAACCCCACAAAAACAAAGGGAAATAAAATAAGTGTTTACATGGAATAAATGTATTAAGCCAATACCAGTAGGAGCAGTGCAACAGCCAGGGTGCTGCAAGTAAACACCCCACTTCCAAACCAAACTAGCAAACACCTCAAGGATGTTAAATCCCTCCACTTTCCTTTATATTTTGCTTCATCATTACATTTCTAAGACAACTGTACAACAGCACAATGTAGTAAAGGCAAGAAAAAGACGACACCTACAATGTTGAGTCTCCCAATGGTATTTTTCAGGGCGTGGATCTGCCTGGCAGCGGCTGCTCCGTCCCTTTCTGCTTCGCTCAGCTTGGACATCAAACACTCCTTCTCCTGCTGCAAGCACTCTTTCTGCAGCCTGCAAGGAGAATTCAGCCATCAGAGGAACAAGGAGCTTTGGCAGCTGTACCAGCCACTGTTGATACACAGTTGATTGGGTTAAAGCTCATAAAAGTCCCCCAGAGAAAAAAAGCTCTAAACATGAACTACTTAAGATTTACCCCCTTTCAGCGTGGAAGCTGCTCTAAAAGAAGGCAGGAAGAAGACACCAGGAGCTTCCTAGGATCCCAGCCACAAAACAGGAATTTAGAGGGGACAAATCAGGCTTACACCAAAGCCTGCACACTCTGCCAAACCCAGAACACAATGCTGTGCTTTTCCTGGGCACCTGGGCCACACGAGAAATCAGACTCCAAAGGGCTGAACATGAAACAGAAAAGCACACCATGATGTACAGCTCAGAGTTTTTAGCCAGGGCTTGTAATCTCAGAAGCATTCAGAGTTTTCTGAAAAAGGAACACACAGTATTAACTTCCAAGTGATCTTTCTTAAGGAAAAAATAAAATTAACTCTCTTAAAACACTAGTGTCCCTCTGGAGACACAAACTTCCCTAATTCTTTAGATATAAAGTAGGTCCAAAAATGTCACAATTTCAGACCTTCAAGGTCACCAAGAAAAACCCCCATGGTTCAGTCCTCTCAGGATCTGTCACTCCTGTCTCTGTAAGATTTTCATAAAGGTCAAAAATTCTCCTCTAGTTTCCAGGTCCACGTTTATAAATTTATTGTTCTACTAGTGGTTCAAACAGAATCTCTCAACCTCCAAAATACAAACTGCAGAGCTAGGATGACCCTCCAACAGGCCATACCAGACAACTGCTCTCAGGTTCCTCTCAGAGTGGATTTTTCCATTCCAAAATTCATGCTAGATCCCTTCTCTGCAGCTACTGCAAGCTGGAGTTCCCCTTCTCAAAAAATCCCAGTGCATCAGTTCTTCAGCAGCACCTATGGCCTCAGATCATGGGGGTCAATAAAGGGAGGTGCCCTGTGAATGCCACAAGGGCAGGAACAGTGAGAGAAGGAGTTTTCTTACAGAGTCAGGTCCTTCTCCTCCTTTATGCGCTCGATGTTGCGCCTGAGCCGGGTGTTCTCGTGCTCCGTTTCCACCAGCTCCTGGGTGACCTCGTTCAGTTCTTCCTTCTGCTCCTCCAGGAGACGCTTCGTCATCTGCTCCTGTTCCTCCATTTTCTGCAGCTTGACCTGAAGGTATTGACATAAAACTCAAAGCAGGTGCTTTTGAAGCGATACACAGAATCCACAGCCCAAATAATGAACCTCTGAGATTCAATTCACTTAGGGGAAGTGTATATATAAAAAAAAGTATATTGTCCAGGTAACAAGTGACAGGGCAAGAGGAAATGGCCTCAAGCTGTGCCAGGGGAGGGTCAGGTTGGACATCAGAGGGAATTTCTTCACTGAAAGAGCTGTTAGGCACTGGAAGGGGCTGCCCAGGGAGGTGGTGGAGTCCCCATCCCTGGAGGTGTTCAAGGAGCAACTGGATGTGGCACTGAGTGCTCTGGTCTGGCTGACAAGGTGTGATCAGTCAAAAGGTTGGACCTCAGTGATCCTGGAGGTCTTTTCCAACCTTAATGGTTCTATTGAGTTTTGTTTTACAATCATGCATGTAATTCCATTAAACTCTGGAGCATAAATAAAATGGAAAATGCTTGATGTAAGAATCTACTTGACTCAAATCCTATTCTTAGGATTTCTTGTTCACTGATTTGAACTTCACATAGTTTTGAGTAAAATAATAACTCAAGATTTGCTACCCTCAAAGCTAAAAATGCAGTTTGCCCCCACCTTGACACATCTTAGGAGAGCTGGGAACATCTCCTACCCATTTTTTAAGTGGCACAAGTACATAAGAGCCTGTTTATCTGGAAAACACGTCACTGGGTTGCACATTTTGAAAAGGGATCAGAAAAAAGAATCTTGTTGAATAAGGGGATTCTTCGACAATAAAACATCAACACATCATATTTTTCACTTTCTGGAGTGACCAGTTTGCAGATTTTGGGTTTAGGCAAAAGAGAGATTATTTGGAAACTAAAGCACAGTTATTATTAAATGAATAATGTTTTAAAATGTTTCATAGTGCAGCTTGGGGCATTTCTCACTAGGACAGCTCAGCTCTTCTAAACGATTCCGATGGATTTCTGGTTTCAAAGCAAGCTACCAACAGCCTGGGGAGCCTTGCACTGAAGCAAGACTCAACTCCAGCCTCCTCTTGTCAAAGGATCAGCTGCACAGCCAAGTCAGCAGGTCTTTACCCTGTCTCCTCACCTCTTTCTTCAGCGTTCCCACCATGTTCATCAGGCTGTCTATCTTCTTTTCGTACTTGTTCATTTTGCAGCAACCGGCATCGTCGTCATCCGTGGAGAGGTCACTGAGGCGCAGCACCGACTGCATCCTCTCAGAATCCGGTGTAACCTCCAGGCGTTGACTGGACTCCTGGCAGAAAATAAAGGGCATCATTTCTTCAGTCTAACATTATAAATACTAGTGAAGATGGTATTTTAAATAGTACTCTACACCTAACTTTGCCAAAACCAAAGAGCAGGTGGCATCGCTGCAGCGAGGGTAGTAAAGGAAAGAAAACATTTGTAAACAGCTCTTCCATTTCCATGTGGGAAAGGTCAAGAATGTAGAAGGAGTACAACAAAGAAAGAAGAAAAACTAATCAAAGCTCCAATCCTCATCTAAGACGTGCCAGGAATACAACAGGCAAAACCATGGAGCCATGAGAAAGAAAATATTACACAATGCTCCACAAATGCTCTGTGCTCTTGAGGAGACTGAGACCAGCAGACCCTCACTGAGACTCCACATCAGACCTGAAGGGCACTGAGAAAATTACAACAAAGAAATAAATGTGTCTGGTTTCTAGAGCCAGAAAGGCTGGTGTGATATGGCCACAGGCTGGTAATTAATTCCCAGTTTTTCTATATTAAAAAGTGAAAAAGATTTATAGAAGACACTTCAAAGAGCTGGTGGCTGACAACAGCCTTCTTTCAGATCTGCCCAGCTCTCTCGCTACACAACTGCTCTCCTCAACCTCAGATGAACCTGAAAGTTTGTTTTAAAGAGCCAAACCAGCTGTACCTCCCATTTCAAGGTGGTGTCACGGGCACGTGCTTTGCCTGGGGGCATCCACGGGGCCTTGGTTTTCACCCCTTTTCTCGGTTTCTGTTTTTGCTAAAGAAGGAGAAAATAAAATAAATTACAGGCTTTTAAAGGACAACTCACAGTCTTTTGTGCTGCAAAACCAAATGAAAGAGCATTCACATAAAAATATCAATAGTGTTTCACGGGGTGCATCAGGTGAGATGAGGCAGCAGCCACAGGAGGAAGGAAAGGTTACTGTCACTCAGCTGAGAGTATGGCTGCAGGTAGGACATGAGAGATCCCTGGCAGATCCCTTCTCCATCCCAGATTTATCTCACAAAGAGCAGCTGTATCAGTTGACACCGTGACTGGTTATGGAAAGCCCCTGAAGTGTTTTCCCCACTCCCCAGTGGACTGCTAGACCGGCATTTATTTGTATTGAACTCGAGTAGCTCTGATTGAAGCAAAATTAAAGTGTTTTTGCACAATTCTAACCTCAGAGAAAAATCAGGCATTCTAAACATTCCCTACAGGCATTAACAGGAGTCATAGATTTCACTGTCACTTCTTCCCATTATGAAATTTGCCACTAGCTACAAACACAAAATAAATAGAGGACTCAGCAGGATGTCTGCAGATAAGGAAGAATGAGATAGCAACTTCCAGCACCTTGTTAGAACAACTTTCCATAAATACCCAGCTACAAAGGAGGACATGGGATAGATGGAACCTCAGCTTCAGTACTGCTTTCTGCCTCCTGTGGATAAGGATGGGAAAAAATTCCCTTTGCTGCAGAGCTCAGTGGACAGAGAAGGTGCTTAATGCTAGAAGATGGTTTGAATCCAGACTCTTTTTCCAAGCACAGTTATTTGAACACAATCAAGATGCTTTTTGAAATGCCTAAGTATTACCTCTCCTACAAAAAATAGGAACACAGCCAAAGAAATAACATTCTCAGGACACAGATCCAGGAAATAAAAGGAAAAACAAACATCCTCCAAACTACATCACATTGGAAACAACACTCCTCACAACAACATGGAAAGTAACAATACCTTCTCTATCACACTGAAATCATCTCAAATATAGAAAAAGTGTCACAGCAAATTCACCACTGGATATGAATTCAAGTCTTACAGTTCTGACACAGCAGCAAAACAGACCTGGAACACTCTGTGGTGCTTCTAGGGCCATTCACCTTCCTCTTTGCAGCCCTCACAACCAACCAGGTACACACTCCTACCTGGCATTTTGCAGGTGTGCTTTTCTGCCCCTTTTTAATATGGACATGGACAGGGGTGTTTTCATCCACATGGACGTGCAAAGGGGGAGATGAGGAGCGGTTCTTCATGGCTCTTCTCCCACAAACGGGAAAGGGAAATACAATGAAGGGACACCTGTGAATAAGGAAACTGGAAATAACAACATTTCCCTCTGTGCCAGGGAGGAACAACAGCCAGCCTAATGGTTAACATTTGAGCTTGCTTTCAGTAGCATCTGCCATTTTGAACTGCACACTACTTTTCTGCAAAGCTAGGAATAACACAAACAGTTCCTCTGCTCCAAGCATTTTAACCTGGTTATTGAAGAGCAAACACAGCTGGATTAATAGCAGGTCTCCATAAGAATCATTGGAATTCAAAGTCTTAAAGCAAGCAAGCAAATCAAGGGTTCCCACAACCAACAAAACCTGATTGCAAAGAGAAATTCAAAGGGGGGAGGAGAATAAATTTAACAATTAGGAAAAAATCAACAGGAAACCATCAGACCACTCCATCCTAGAACTCTGGACCTGTAAACTCCTTCATACGTGCTTAAGTGTCTTTTTGAAGCAAAAAAAAATCCTTACAAGCCTTTGGGTCACAGCATTTCTTTAATCTCCAGAAAAACACCTTAACCAACACCTGACACAACACAGAAAAGCCTAGAGACACAAACTTCAAGTCATCATCTTGGAGCCTGATGCCTCAGTTGATGTAATGGTATAATGCAATTGCAAATCTTACACAAACCCACCAGCAGCACTAATCTGATTCTGGCAGAAAGGATTTTATCAGCCCAGGTGAAGTTACTTACGGTCACTCTCAAGCTTTTGAGTTTTTTGGACACTGTGTTTGGTCCAGAGGTTGTAGTCGATTCCTCATTGAGGGATGAGACACACCTGATACAGAAACAATAAAATGACTAAGAGGAAAAGATACCAATTTCTCAACATCCTCTTCCTTTTGATTTAAGGCAACACAGAGGCTTAAACACATCAAATGTATGAGCCCAAAGAGCAAAAGCTGGTGCGTCCTGGCTTCCTCTGACAAACACGGGATGAGGGAAGGATTGAGGCTCTAACGCCTCATGCACTGATGATGAAAATTGGTTTAAACAAAGAAAATGTTTTGTACCATTACATGATGGCGTTACTCAGTTACAAACCTCCAAATTCTAACTGCAATTTGTAAGGGACACAGCGGCACTTCCCTTAACTCAGGAACAGGAAGCGACAGCTTTCAGAAGGAACAGGATTCCCCAGGCTCCAGCTATGAACAACTGCAAACACCGCCGGGTGTTTGAATCGTCTTTTCTTTTTGTCCAGGGAAGGGCTGAGCTCTCGGCAGGCCCAGCGCTGACAGAGCTTTTGAATCACCGCGAGCGAAACCCAGACGCTGTCACCGCGCCCGCCTGGCAACCAGGCTCACTCCGGAGTTTAATTCCTCCTGCCGGCCCTGCAGGCTCCCCGAGGGACCTGCGGCTCCCCCGGGCTGGCAGGGGCGCGGGGCGGGCGCTCTGAGGGCAGGACAGGCCTCAGGGGCAGCTCCCAACGCCCGCCCGCCCCGCCCGCCGTTACAGGAGCCCGATGGCTCCCGCAGCCCCTCCCGGGCGGGAGCGACCCCCGCAAGGCGGGCGGGAAGGGATGAATCCCGGGGCTCCCTGAGGGAACACCCGCGGGGAGAGGGGACACCCACGGGGAGAGGGGACCCCCGCCCCCGGCGCTCACCAGGTGGCCCCGCGCGGGGTCCGCAGCCACCTCAGGTCGCCGTCGGCGGCGGGGGAGCGGCGGGAGGCGCCGGCGCGGCCATGGAGCGAGGTCTGGGGCGGGTGCCCGCACCAGGGGCAGGAGGCGCGGCCGCAGGGCCCGGGCCGCCGCCGCCGCCGCGCCGCCCGCGGCTCCACCATTGGGCGATTCGAAGGGGCCTGAGCGGCGGTAACCGCCCCCCCGGTAACCGCCCGCGGAGCCGCACGAGCGGCCCCAGCGGCCCCGGGAACACCCCCGGCCCCGCCGCGGCGTTGTGCCGAACGGCTGCTCACCCCCGCGGCCCTGCCGAGGACTGGAAACGGGAGGAAACACTGGGTTATTAAGGGGATTTTCTTCGCGTTGCCTTCGAGATGAGTTTTACTGACTTAAAGGTACGGTTGTGGTGTGTGTGCATCCCCAACATGGAATTCCTGGAGCAAGTCCGGAGGGGACCACGGAGTTAAGAGGATTGGAGCTGGGGCTGCTCAGCCTGCAGAAGAGAAGGTTGTGTGGAGACCTCACAGCAACTTCCCAGTATCTGAAGGGGCTACAAGGAGGTCAGGGAGGGACTTTTCATCAGGAACTGTTAGGACAGGGAGTAATGGGCACAAATGGACAGAGGGAAAATTTATGTTAGATATTGAAAGAAAGTCTTTACTGGGAGGGTGTTGAGACACTGGAACAGATTGCTGAGGGAGGCTGTGGATGCCCCAACCCTGACAGTGTTCAAAGCCAGGTTGGTAAGGCCTTGAGTAACCTGGTCTAGTGGGAGATGTCCCTACCCATGGCAGGATTGGGTCCTTTCCAATCCCTTAGCATTCTATGAAATGTGATACAAAATCCTGCAACAACCTTCTTTATTTCATGTAATATTATCAGTATATTAGCATGATGGATATTCATCTCAAGGACTGATGTCATGTAGCACAGCACAGCGAGAAGCAGCGGCAGCTGAGCCCCTGGTGCTTCAGATCCTCATCCAAAATCAAAATCTCTTCTTCCCTCTTGGGTTTAGAGACAGACACCAAAATTATTATAAAAGGTTTCCTCAACCTCCTGTCTATGCACATTCAATATAATTTTTTAAAACAACGTTGTCTGTTGATATTGTGGAACACAAGTTTCAATACAGAATAGTTTAGAGAAATACAGTCATGGAGCAGTCCCACAGCTGTTTTTACTGTAAACATTTTCTTTCTCCCCTCTATGTCTCATCATAACTGAATTTGGAACTAGTCCTACACTCAGCAAAAAAACCCAAACCTCTCTCACCACCATTGTTATACCAAATAAAGGTGCACCCCTCAACCCCATACTGTGCAGACCACCTTCAGCTGCACCTGAAATATCACAACAAATCAGATTCCCTGAAACCTGCCCGTTCTTCTGGAGAAACAGAACTCGATCAAGGTGATAATTAAGGATACTGAAGTCTTGGGCTGTGCGATGTGCAGCTCACATTCAAACCTGCATTTTCTCTTACTATGACAAACATCAGGTTCTGCAGCTCCAGAGGAATTTTAACAAGGGCATGGAGGGACAGGACAATGGGGAATGGGTTTGCACTGACAGAGAGCAGGGTTAGATGGGCTATTGGGAAGAAATTCTTCCCTGTGAGGGTGGGGAGGCCCTGGCCCAGGTTGTCCAGAGAAGCTGTGGCTGCCCCATCCCTGGAAGTGTCCAAGGCCAGGTTGGATGGGGCTTGGAGCAACCTGGGCTAGTGGAAGGTGTCCCTGCCCATGGCAGGGGATTGGAACAAGATGGTGTTTAAGGTGCCTTCCAACCCAAACCATTCTCTGACTCTCCCCAGCACAGCTCAGTAGACTTCATATTGCACAGGGACAGTTCCTAATTCGATTGCTACAACAGCAAATCCTTTATTACTCTTGCACGGCAGAAACACCTGGAGATCCCTTGGCCATGCAGATGGCTCCTAATCCTTCTTCTCCTAAAACAAGAACAAACTGATTTTCAGTGGTACTCCAGAGAGATCTCATGCAAGACAAGTCTTTCCAATACCTGCTCTTCATTAGTGATTTCAGCATAGGGTGTGCTCTTCAGGTGTAAGGGGTGAGGTAAGAACTCAGCTCTCACAAAGGGCACAGAATAAAGCCAACCTTTATCCTTGCAGACCGTACAGAGTCCAGTCCTGAGAGAACCGTTTACATGGAAGAGTGACAGCACACACCCTGTGAGTGCAGCATCGCTGCTGTCACGGGAAGGGGGCCTTCCCAGTGCCCTGGATTCCTCCAGTTCCCTCAGCACTGGGCTTACATGATTCTATTGCAGGAAAAATTGTCACTTGAAAACTAGAATCCAGTATGTCAGTCAGGAAAACGCTTCACATGACATGGATGAGTAGTGGAAGACAAGCTGCTCAGACCTACCACATCTGACATGGCTGTAACACCAGCCAAGAGCATCTTGCTTTTACAGTAAACTGCTCCAAGGATGGCTTGTGCCTAAAAGAAGCCTATTTGCTGCATTCTTCAATTTAGACCTTCTCCTTTTCAGCAGCATCCAAGATCCCTTCCTTCCACCTGCCCCCATCCTTCTACAGAGACCCAGCTGGACCCTTCTCTCACTACGACTTGATTTTCTGAACGGGGTGGTCTCTGTGCCCTCGTGTCAGTCTTTAGGTGTGACCAGTCCTTTCAACTCTAAAAATAAAAGCCATTTCTGCTGAAGTTTTCACCATGCAAGTAGTTCAGGGAGGCAGCTGCATCAGATTGCAACTGCAGATTTTTCAATGACTTCTTCCATGCGCTGGTACCAAGGCTGGATCTTGGTGTGAGCCATCATGTCATCAAAGGCTTCCAGCCCTTCCATGACCCGGAGGACCCCGTACACAGCCTGTGACAGAGCAGAAATGTTAGAGCAACACTGAAAGAGCAGTGGAAATGGCTCAGAATACAAGTAACACCTGTGAGGTTTAATCACCAGCATCCACAAGCCAGAGCAGTGTCCTGGCTGTGACCTGCTTTTGTTGTGTTTCCACCTGATCAGTAACATCCACCTGCACGTGGGAACTGCAGGTTCTATATTTAGAAAGATTTCTCCGGAGGAAAACAACAAATCCAGTCCTGTGTAAAGCAATAGGCAAAAATTCCATATGGGAACTGTATTACTGCACAAAGGACATGGACAATGTATGTCATGTAGCTCAACTTCCCTGCCTGTGTTTGTATTAACCATTTCCCACAGCGGGGCAGCAGGATGATTTGTGACAGTAACTGCAGGGATGAGCCCCTTACCAGGTCGGCGAGGTTGGGCTGGTTCCCACCCATGAACAGTCGGTTTTTGCCAACAGCTTTTACCCACTCGTTTACTGCTTCGTACAAATCTTCTCGGACATCGTCTCGAAGGTTGTGTCTGGACAAGGACAAGAAGCAGTTTGAAGACATGTTGGTTTCTTTCTTTAAGCTTTTATCATCTCTCCCCTTATGGGCTGGTCTTTGCTCGGTAGTTAGGGAGGTACTTGAGAGTGAAGGGGACAGTCAGTAACTAAACAGCAGATGAGTAGGGGGGTCCAGTACCTCCAGTTAAAGAAGTACAGCTGTTACTCACACGGGATTAAATGGTTCAGCTTAAAACCCTGAGGTTCTGCCCTTTTGACAGCCAGGGTTCACAGCTAAGGAGGTTAAGGAGCTATTTCTTCTTTTGTGTAACTGGTGCTCAGTGATACCAACCTTTTCTTCAGCCTCTTGCTCACGAAGAACATGGCAACAGCCCCCACGTACTTGGCAAAGAGACCTTCCAAGGTGCCAAACTTCCCCTCCCGGACAATGTAGTCAAAAGACGCCAAGGCTTCTTTGGGCGTTCGGTAAACGTTGGGGGAGATGAGGTGAACAAGCCAATCATCTGCCCATTTTCTCCACTTCATCTCTTCCCTGTAAGCAGCCAAAAGAGAGCGAGTGAGGTGCAGATTGCAGGGCTACAGGAGGCAGGATCACAGTGGCATTAGCCACTCCTGGCCAGCCTGGTGCTCTGGTGACCTCTCTGAAATGCACTCAGCATCGTTACCGTTGGCAAGGCTCCTGCAGTCTCAAACTAAATTTAAGACTAAGACAGAGCACTAGATTCTCCTCCCAATATGAGAAGTAAAGCAGAAGGGGAAACTATCTTTCTGTAGCATTCCCCTGTGCCATAAAGGGAAGGCCAAGAAGAAAACTGTAAGCAGCTCAAGGCCAGTGTGACCATGGTGGTGGTAACTAGGCCATCTAACAGCACTGTTTTGAATTATCCAACAAACACACAAACCCACCCCAGCTACTGAGGCTTTAATGGGGGCGTGACAGATCTTGTCAGCCCCAGTGGGATTGATTTTACATCTACACCATCCCTGAGGACGTATGGAGGGGGCTGTGATTCCACTTAAGAGAGCCCAGAAACTTAAGAGCACTTACACTCTCACTTCTTTGACGGGATAAACTCGCTTTGTCTCCTTCTCATCCAGCATGAGCCAGTATTTATTCTCATACTCCATCACCTCCTTGCCTTTCTCAGTCACGGTTTTAACAGGAGGATAAAAGGACACAATCTCTTCCAAGCTATTCCTTCTGTGGACAGAAACACAGTTAGCACTGTGCTACAAAAAAAGGGGCGAGAGCAAAGGACAGATTGAAAGATACACACTGTAAAATGTATTATTCTAAAAATAAGTGCATAAGGTTCCAGATTCTATCTGAAAAAAGTTTTGAAAAGAGACTGGGACAGCTACTTGCAAATAGCTATTATTAGTGAATATACCTTTGAGTCAGAACAGAAATTTTTGCAGGCATAGAGCTTCCTACAGTTCTCAAGTGGACCTAAAGAACAGGCCACAGGCACAGCAATTCCATTTCACTTTTAGATATAATAACTGGCTAATTGTAAGCTCAGTTCCAGAACTAACACAATCCATATTTAAGATGGTTTTGTGCAAACAGAATCTCACAGGTGAAAAAGTATTTCTGAAAGGCTTTGCTTTCCAGTCCACACAACACAGCATATTCAGGCACCATCCACTTTGTCACAGCCAGGCTCAGGTCAGCTGGGCCGAACACCCAGAGCTTCAGAGCCCAAGGTCAGTAAGAGATTTAAGGCTTTAGTTTTCTAAACCTCCAGTTCACCAAGGCCCTTCAGGCTGAACTCATCTCTCATCACCCTGTTTTCCTACCTGGAAATAAGATAGGTCTTTATTGCACTGATGATAACCGAGGAGTCGTTCAGTTGCTGAAAAACAAAATGAAAACAACTTTTTAAAAGAAGCTGGCGAAATAGAAAAAGGAATTCTTCACAATCTTTTCCCTTATATGCTGAGGCTCCAGGTTAGTCCTGCAGGGCCTTTCCTCCCCAAGCATTTCCACAGGAATCCCTGCACATCTTGAGACATCTCTTCTGTGATTGTTTCAGAATATCATTTCAAATCTGGCTTTAATTCTGACCACAGAGGACCTCAGGGCCGGGCACACATGTAGTACTAGTGGGGTTTGGATTTAGGCTCTTGGCAGGAAGGAAGAAAAGCAACACTAACACTAAAAAAAAACTCCAAATTGATTCTTCAGTATTCTTGAGATCTCGTTTTGGCTCTTGAGAGCATAAAGGATGATCTAAAGATCACACTGCATGTGATAAACCACACAGACATAACAGCCTTCAAACTACTGCTTGGGGGAAAATGAAGCTTTCAAGACAGGAAGACTTACCAGAGGGCTCCCAGTGTTGGCAAGCAGGATGGGCACCTTTCTGTAGGAAGAGAATTTGATCTCTCTCCTCATTATTGGATTCACTTCCACAATTTCATAGGGCAGGCCATGATAATCAAGAAAAGCTCGGACTTTGCTGCAGAAAGGACATGTTTTGTACTGGTAGAGAGTGAGCTGCAGGCTCCCTGAAGGCAGCTGGGGAAGAAAGGGACAAGAAGGTTCCATTTTCAACCAAAAATACATTACCTTCCTTCCACCCTTATTTTTGTCATGAAGTCACAGCCACTAACATTCAGTTTCAATATATGATCATCAGAGCATCTTGGTTATCAGATGCTTTCTTTAAGTGGCATCACAAATAATCACTACCCATTAGGACCAAATAACTGTTTCTCTAAACATCCATTTAACCTGCTGCAAACTCCTATTCACAGCCGGAAAAAACAGAAGTTAAATCCAGACACTTTATCCCTCTATGGTTTCTCATCTGTAGAAAAGAATTCTATGGAAAAAACCCCAACCATTTGTAACAGTATTTAAACAGATACAAAGAAAGCCCTTACAAGCCAATCCTTCCCTCACAACACCCTCTGTTGAGGCCACGGGGTGGGGAGTGCAGAGTTTGCTGTTGATTTTAAACACGTGCCTGCCCAAGATCGGATTCCCAGGATTAACCAACAACTGGGACAAGGTGGGAGAGCCCAGGACAGCGGGACATCACCTAAGGGATGTTTCCCAACGCTGCTACACCTCAGCAACCTGCCAGGCCGTGCCAGTCATTCCTCACACGTTATAAAACAACTGCGGCCACCCCACTGTGCTTCTCACCTACAGTTTATCAGCTTACACAACCCTCAGCGCTGCGAAAAGGCAACAAGAGACAAAGCTGCTGCACATCCCCAGCAGGCCCTCGCTGACAGCCTCTCCTCCAGCTCAAGGAATGCGCTGCCAGGGCCGCCCTTACACAATTTTAAGCTCTTTCCTCACTCAAACCGGGATGAACCGCTACGGCCCTCTCCGAACCGCAGTCCGCAGAGGATCTCGCAGGGCTCGGGGAGGGTTAAGCGGAGCCGGCTCCGGCGTTACCTCAGCGGCCGAGTGCTCCCGCAGGCGCTGCCGCGCCGCCAGGCACAGCCCGGCACCGCCGCCCAGCGCGAAGGCAGCGCCCAGCACCAGCCGCCCGCCGCCGCCTGCCCGTCCCGCCGCGGCGCCGAAGGCTCGTCCCGGGGCCCGCAGCCGCCAGGCCGGCGGCAGCAGCAGCGCTCCGGCCCGCCAGGCACGGCCCGCACCCGCCATCTTCGGCTGAGGGCGGGCAGAGAGCGCCCGCCCCGCCCCGGCCAGGGCGGCCCCGCCCGCGGTGTGGCGGGTACGGACACGGGCACGGTGGCACCGTGTCCTTCTGAGGGGGAACGCCTCACACAGGACACCCCATACAGGGAACACCCCACGCACCTCACAGGGAACACCCCACACAAGGACACACCACACGGGGACACCGCACGTAGGTCACCCCACAGGGGCACACCCCTCACAGGACACCCCACACGGCCCCGTGCTCCCGCAGTTATCATATCTGACAACGCACCAAAGCCCGAAGTGAAAATAAAATAATTAGCGGAGAGGCTGAGGGAGTTGTGTCTCTTCAGCCTTAAGAAGAGACCACAATAATGTGTATAAATATCTAAAGAGGGGCACGGAGAAGGTGGACAGGGTTCTGCTCGGTGCCAACCTCAAGGACAAGGCAAGAAGCAGAAACTCATGCACAGAAAGTTCTACCTCCATATGAGGAAAAATTTCACTGTGCAGTGACAGAGCACTGGAACAGGGACGAGAGAGGGTGTGGAGTCTCTGTCACTGGGATATTCCAGACCTGTCTGGATGTGTCTTTGCTGTGTGCTCTGGGATGATGCTGCTTGGGCAGGGAGGTGGGACCAGGTGACCCCCTGTGGTCCCTTCCAACCTGAGCCAGGCTGTGATTCTCTGGGAGCATGTCCTGAGCCGTGGGGCTGCAGCTTCTGACCGGCACACACGCACAGTGTGAGCCCACACCCGTGTGGAAAGTCATCATCTGTTTTATTAACAGCGGTTACATCCATTAACTTCACTAATATTCAGTTCCCCTACTTAGGGTGCAACACAGGCCCAACCCATCAGCGCACTGGGGTTATCCCACAGAAAGGAGAGGTGCCTGTGATGTTAAATGAGAACATAACCTTTTATTTCATCTTTGTCCCAAATACCTACTTAATAATGGAGTCCTTGATCTCAGAAGCGCTGCTCAAACCAATCCTTTAATTGCGGGTTATTTTCATCCCGGTGACATCTCTCCCGGGGATGAAAACACCACGCAGCCATGAGACCTTCTCAAGCTGACTGAGGTGCTGCTGATTCTGGGCCAAAGGCAGGCAAGGACAAAGCGAACTGTGCTTGTTCCTTCAGGGAAAAGCATCCTGAAGGTGACCTGGGGGTGGTTCAAGCCGCTCAGCGGGCGAAGCAGCAAAGCCGTCGCTGGGACTGCCCCAGCACCCGCGGGATGGTCCCGCACGGGCAGGATGCAGGTCTATCCATGGAGCATCCCTTGTCCTGCGAAAGAAACGCCGGGTGCTGACCGCGGCCTCTAAGTGGGGAAACCTGCGGGGGGCTGAGGACATCGGGGGAGGGACAAAGAGACAGGTAGCACTGGGATTTTTGGGGAAAATCCCCGAGGAACGTGGTGCGCGGCGCTGCCCACCCCGCTGCCCAGCGCTGCTCCCCGCGCCCGCCCGCGCAGCTCCCTATCCGCGCCGCGCGCCGCTAACCACAGGCTTTACCGCGCCGCCGGCCGGCGTCACGCGCGCGGCGCCGCGCCCTGCCATTGGCCGCGGGCCCTGCGCGCGCCCGGGGCGCGCCGTGCGGGCGGCGCCGAGGCGCGGGCGCGGCGGGATGGCCGGGCCCAACGGGGACCCGCACGTGGCGGGCAGCGGCCCCGACGACGAGGACGGGGACGGCGGGGACTCCTTCGGGGAGGAAGGTGCGTGAGCGGGGCCGAGCGGGGCCGCCGCCACGCTGGGGAGCCCCAGCGGGGCACCGTCTGGCCTGGCCCGGCCCCGTGGGCTGCGGGTGGCAGAGCGCGGGTACGCCCAGGTGTGCTCAGGTGTGCCCAGGTGTCCTGTTGGGAGCGGTGCCTCATGCCCGGGGTGTGCCCCCTGCGCAGCAGCGAGGGGCTGCGGGGTTGGATTCGTGTGCAGCCGTGGGGCCCCGAGCTCTTCCGTGCTGCCCCTGAGGTGGTGGTGGTTTTCTTTTTCTTGTGCAAAGGTGATTCTGTGGCTTTGCTGCTGCGCGGGTGTTCAAGGAGAAAGAGGATGTTCAGGCTGGGAGAGCACTGGGCAGGTCGTGTGGGCAGATGTGGGAGAAGTAGTCATGCGTGGAAAAAGGGAATTTAATGCAGATAGCTTGGTAAATTCCACTTTGGAGTGTTTCTACATCAGAAGTTTCTGATGCTGCCCTATCCAGTTAGAACCAGCTGATGGAGGAAGTAAGACCAGAGCAGAACTGTAATGCAGACATAGAGGTCACTCTTAAATCTGGAACTCTTTCACAGTAAGCACTTTGCTACCTTTCTGTTGAAGGAGGTGAAGAGTTGGGTTCTGCTGTTTCCTAAAACATCGTTCAGTTTCCAGATGTGGAAATTGGCCCACACAGGTGGATTTCAGAGTTCTCTGGGATCATACCTGCAGTGACAGAAGGATCATTTCTGCCCTGAAACACCCCAAGAGTCGTCACTGCTTTGCATCATCAGAGTGATAAACGTTTCACACTTTCTGAAGAGCTCAGAGACACATTGGCTGTGACAGAGAAAGTCACTAAATTCGATTTACATCAAGTCTAATTAGGTTGTTCAGCTTGTGATCAGCTGATTTCTGTGCAGTAGCTGGTCAGAGGGGGCTGCAGCTGTAGAACACTTCCTTGAGCTCAAATAGAAACCTTATTTTTGTCAGCTGTCATTGTAAGAATACAGAGGAGTTAATGCAATTGCCACACCCCTTGTCAGTGTTTTCATTAGGGAATGTGGTTATGTTTCCACAAAAATCCACCCAGCTTCAAACTAATGGAAGACAGTCTTTTTACAGCTTATTTTTAAATGGTTAAATTTTTTCATTTCCCAAAGCTGCACAAATGATATGGCCTTTGCTTGGGCTTTAGGCACTGAGAAAATCGGGCTCCTGCTGTGATTACAGACTTCTAGCCAAGCTGAGGAATATCCCTTGTCACAAGTAGCTACTGTGTCTGCTTGGGATGTGCTCACCATTTCAATGAACGTGGTGCATCCCACTGAAGTAGAGCTCTGACTCATGGACATTCTCACACACCTGAAGCAGGGTTTGGAAAATACTGCTAATTGGCACCTTTTTAGAAAGCCTGTGTTTGTGGGATTGCTTTGGAAATGTGAGGCCAAACTTTTATAAACAAGCTTAAATGCAACACGCACAGTTATCCAAAGAATTAAGGCTGTAACACTCTGTGAACAGCTTCAAAGTGTTGTAAGAAAAGGAGGACAATTACTTTTTTATAATGAAACTTTTCCTTAGCTATTAATATTGCAAATGACTGTGATGTTTAAATATTCACAGTTCTTTCAGAGCTGCTGGGAATGGCAGGGCCTGGGCCCGGTGTGCTGGTGCACCAGGGAACTTTTAATCAGTAGGTAAAAATAGAAGTAATAATCTTCCTCTACAACGTCAGCTGAATTCAGTACCCAATAGAATGCAAAAAAAAAATTACTCCATCAGAATTACTTCTGAAAATGCCCATCAATACCTGATGCAATAAATACAAACATGAAAGGTACCAGCCTAACGTGACACGTGAAAAATGAAGGGCAGAAATCAACAGTTTAATTTCTGTTGGGTTGTACTGTTCCAAGTGCCTGCTGGCTTATTATTTATAATCAGCTAATGAGAGTTGGCAGCTGATTTCCAGCACTGATCCAGAATTTTCCTGAAACACAAGCACTCCTTTCAAAGAAACATTCCGTGCCCACGGGTCACAGCTCCACAACAGCCTCCCTCCACTCACCCAGCCCCTGTGGCTTCAGGAGGGAACATGGGATGGCTCCAGGTGGGGTCCCTGGAACCCCCTGGGGTTCCTGAGTAACCCCAGCAGAGGTTTTGTCTTGTCTGGTTTTTCAGTTTGTTATTCTTTAGGATTGTGTGAATGTTGCTTGGAGCGATGCAAAAGCAGGTGTTTGGTGCAGCAGCACAGCACTCTTCAGCTGATTAACAGTGTTAACACTGTGAAATAACCCTTGTACTGCACTTGAAACTAATGCTGTGAATAAGGAACTGTCAATGATCTGGGTTTAATCTGAAGTACCCAGAGCATTAATGGTGCGTGAAAATCCTGAGGTTGAACTTGGTGCCCCACATTTACCTCCCTTTGGAAGTTTCAGTGCCACTACCAGCACCTTTGGGTCATCCCTGCTGCTGCCACAGCCAGGTTTCTGTCATCCTGACCCCAGCCCAGCCCTTGGTGAAGCACATCCCAGCCTGGGAGCCTTTCACAGATAAACAATAAACACTGTGACATGCTCCCAAAAAGCCTGCAGCATCAGGAAAGACGATGCCAAAGGCAGGTAAAAAGGCTGACTTGTCCTTGGCATTTCTGTGGTGCTGTCAGCAATGAGCCCGTGGTCAGCTGTTGGTGTGTGGGATCCAGGGCAGGCAGGTGTGCCCACAGTGGCTTTGGCCAGCCCAGGTACCTCACCTTAGACCTTGTTAGCAGTGCTGCAGCCTCCCCCTGGCTGTGTTGGATGGATCAGGGAGCACAATCCATGCAGGGTTCAGTTGTATTTGCTTCACCCACCCAGGGCCAGGTAAGGCACAGCCCAAACGCTGTGGGCGTGTTGTGCCAGAGCTCTCCCTGCCTGCAGTGACAGCACTTACACTGCTCAGCCTCTCATTTCCCTTCCTTTCAGAATATGCAGCAATAAACTCCATGCTGGACCAGATCAACTCCTGCTTGGATCACCTGGAGGAGAAGAATGATTATCTGCACACCTGCCTGAAGGAGCTGCTGGAGTCCAACCGCCAGGCCCGGCTGGAGTTCCAGCAGCAGAACGAGCAGCTGAACATGGGAGCTGATGGACAGGGCCCCCAGCCTTCTGCCTAGTAGTGTCTGACCACAGGCTCTCAGCTGGGCTTGCTGAGGGACTTTTACTGCTCACCAGTTTAATGTAAAACTTGAATAGAAGAGGTGCCTCGTGCCTGTTACTTGTTCCTTCCCGTGGTTGTGTCCTGCCCTTCACCTCCATGTTCTGTTTTCCTTTAGCTGTGAGAGGTGCAAAGCACATGGGTGGCTGTAGAGCTGGTTCTTTCTGCTCCCTGGCACTCACACCTGGTTAAAGCTGGTTGCCATGCAGGTAGTTCACAAGCAGGCCCTCTTCACAAAGAGGAGAAGTGATCTTTGCTCTCTTGTACTGTTAAATCCCAGCAAGGAGTGTTATGGCTTTTGCCTCTTCCCTCAGAGAAAGCACAGTAGGCAGGGGCTGTCCTGACTCCAGGCTTGTCCCAAATGTAACTCTGGTGACAGCTTTGGGGAGGGAGGCCCTAGGCCAGCTCCTGCCTTGAAACCACAACTTGTCCCTCAGTCACATTAACTCTGATGGACCAAATACTGGCACATGGTCCCAAACCAGTGGATGCTTCCATTCCCTGCCAAGCAGATAAGCCCACCTACCAGGGGGATGTTTTTGCTGTTATAACTGAGAGCTGCCCCGCTTCTCCAGCTGTTCCAGACTCCAGCGTGGAGAGAGGCAGAGCAACCTGGTTAGTCCCCACCACAGCAGCAGCTCCAGAGAGCAGAGACAGGGGCCTGCCTGCTCTGGGATGTGAGCAGAGCCCTCCCTGGACATTCTGACAAGGCATGAGCTGTCTGGTCTAACTTGTGATCTTGTCAGGATGGCCTGGGGCCAGCACTTTGAAGCAAGTCTTACTGTTCTACTTCTGTAATGTTAAAGGAGTTTTTTTTTTTGAAAGTTAAAGAGGTTATTTATAAGAAATCTGTTTTATTAAAATCAGTTTGAAACAAAATTTGTTCCTGAGAGTCTCCACTATGAGAACAGACTAGTTAGGCCTTGTAGTACTAAGAAAGGACCAAGGTGCACATTCTTGCCTAGCTTAGGACGCAGTGCTTGTCCAAGAGTGTGTCTTTGAAAGGAAAGTGTTCTGAGAAGCAAAGCTGAACATAACAGCCTCCCAAGAGAGAAACTTCTCTGCCTGGAAAGGAAATGACAGGGACTACAAAGAATTCTTAAGTCTGAATCCATCTACTCCATGAACTTTGCCCCCTATGGAAATCCCATTACCATCTTCCTTCAGGTTCAACAGTCCAAGCCTCAGTCCTTCCACAGAATTAAATGCTGTATCCCAACTGTACAAGTAATAACCAACACCATCCTGTATTAGACACGCTAAAGCCAGGCTTATTTATTCTTAAAATAAAAACAGCAGTAAAGTTGAAGGTTTCGCTCTATTAAAAGACTCAGAAAATAAACATTTCCAGCAAATATCATATGTAAAGGGCTCTCCTTTAAGGCCACTCTATCTGGGTTTGCGCCTAGAAGAGCGTCTGCACCCAGAGGCGAGACCGGCTGTCTCACCTTTGGCGAGGGAGGAAGGCTCTGCCTCCTGGCCTGCATCTGCTGCCTCATTCTGTCCCAACCCTCCTCCACTCCCTGGATCCTGGTGGTCATCCGTGCCTTCCCTCTGCCTGGCTGTGTTGGCTTCCTCCTGGTGTCCCAGCAGCTCCCCCGTGGCGCGGCTCTCCTGGGGGAACGCGCGGGCGGCACTAGTGGCAGTGGACTCGCTCTCTTCCTGTAGATTTTCTTCTACAACCACGACACCACACACATGGTCAGTCACGCTGGCCAGGCTCTAGCCCTCTGCCCCAGAGGTGGCCAGCTCACCCTTACCCTCCAGAGACCTTGGAGTTTGTTCTTGCAGGGCTGACAGCTCCGCACCCTCCTTGTCAATCCCACGATCGTCATTCATCTTCTCGCCGGTACGTGCTGTTGTAGCAAGAGGCTGTTTTGGATCATCCAGCAATTGGGAGCTGGAGCCCTGGGAAGGCAAAGGAGCCTCGGGGTAGGCAGTTGTGGCACGATGCCTCGCTGCCTTGTATCTCTGCAAACACAAACAAACCAAGGTGAGAGGGGAGGCCAGCTCAGCTCCCGTCACTGCAGCAAAGCAGCAGCTGCTCCAGGAACACCTGTACAAAAACAGTGGTGAGTGGCAGGGGCACGACCGGTCTCGGCAGCTCCTGGCCTGGCTGCTGAGGCTTTCAACACAGAAAGGTCAGCTCCTGTGAGGAAAAGTGGTGATATTAAAAACTGAAGTCCTTCTCACATTACTTAATGCTGAGCGAGTGCATGGCAGGCCTGCGGCTCCCGAGACAAAAATCATGTTCTGGCAACTGTTAATCCTCAGTCAGACTCAGGACTTTGTAGATGTAACACTGCAAGTGTCAGCTCCTGCTTCAGCTACTGCCAGGACAGGTACCCTGGGCACATGAGGCTCTGCACCACCCTCAGCTACAGGTGAGATTTAATGTTTATCAGCCAAAGCAAGACTTAAGTTGAAAGCTTAATATTTCTTCACTCTGTTGATGCAATCTGCACAGTCAGTGGAACTGTAGACAGGAAGACTGAGATATCAAGAATATCTTGTTACAAGGCACTGAGGTTTTCCACAGAATAAAAGGTAACATATCATCAGTAAAATTACTTATTTGCACTCGCTATCATGATGAACCAGTAGAGGTCTGTAAAGAGATTAAAATGGCTACTAGCCACTTCTAGACCAGATTTCAGGAAAACAGCAACTCTCTCTGGCTAACACACAGCAGGAACCTGGTCTTTAACACCCAGAGCTGGAGCTAAAGGAACAAACCAAAGCTCCTTCTTTTCCACAGCAGTTCCCTCCACAATCAACTCCCTTCCAGCTGCCTCCTGAAGGGCTCCTTGAACTGGCACAGGCCATTACACCTGACAGTTTAAAGAAACAATTTTGAGCCCAGTGGCTTTCACCAGTCTGCAAAGTGGAATTACAGCCCATCAGACAGGCAGCTTTACACTGTAATCCACTTTATCACTGCAGGCTTGTTCTTTCTCTGCCCTCAAATGGTGGGAAATGCACAATATCACATTGCACTGGAACTGGATCAGTTGAGTCAACGCTGTACCCCAACCTAAAGCAGGTACAAGCATGCAAATTCATGTTCAGTGATGCTGTGAACTGCCCCAACAGCAGACAATTCTTTGCTTTGAAACCCTCTGCTAAGCTACTCTGCTGAGAATACCCCAATATACAACAACAGTGACAAAGATTTAACTCAGACTGCGACAACTCTGAGGCACCCAGGCAGCCAAGAGTAATAGTTATCTGGTTGCAGATATTTAAGGTTAAACTCTTCTCATAAAAAATTCCTCCAGGTCACTCTGGCATCCATTTGAAGAGCATCTGATTTCAGCTCTAAGTGGGCCAAAAGAGTGACATAAGTGACTGCTGCTCTAAAGCTGCTCTAAAACAAGCCAGGAAAACTTCAAGGCTGATTCCTTCACTCCTGAAATGACTAGCTGCAGGAGTGGGAGAGGATGAGCAACCATGAAGGAACAGCTGTGGTCTCCTGCCATCCCAAATTCACTGCTCTAAGTGCTGGCTTCTGCAGCACCCCACCTCTTGCTGGAGGCAGTGAGGGCTGACTAAGAATAGTTTCTTCTGTCTGAAGACTAGAAGAAAAACATGAAGTTTTGGGGGTTCAGGGATGGGTGTGTGTGTTTGGGGTTTTCTTAGACACTATTAAAAAAGCTTGTAGGGAAAACCAGCAGCTTTTGGGAGCAGTGTGGGTGCAGGCAGAGGACAAAGGCAGTGTGGGAGCCTCTTTCTTTGCCAAGGTCAGCAAATACTGCTCTCCCACACAGGCAGGGCCCAGGCAGTGGTCACAGGAGAGGGCAGAGACTGTGCAAGCCCTGTGTACCCTCCACAAGGTACTAATCCAGGCCCCTCACCCCCTGGCAAGTCAACAAGGACAGAACGATGGAGGCAGATTCCAGGCCAGCCCAGTAGGAAAAGCTTTAGATACAAAAGCAGCAAGGGGCAATAGGGCTTCTTTAGGTGGAGCCAGAAAAGCAAAGGAACAGCATCAGTTGGCAGAGCTTTGTGCTAAGGAGTTTCTAGGAGAGGGTAGCAGACATACAGACAGACAGACAGACTTCCTCTTGCAGGCTGACCCTGGGGACAAAGGGACTCCCACAGCTTGTAGATTCCATCTCATGGTCTGTAATGTTACATTTCCAGACTTGTAAGGCTGAGGATCTCATTTTACCAGGCCTCTTCATGGATGAATTACACCCACAATTTTGGCTAAAGGAGCTGTTCCTGCAGGATCACAGGAGAAGATGCACCAGCTTTCTTTACAAGAACAGCCTCTGTCCCTTGTTCTTACCCACCTTGACCCATCTGTCTCTGGTCTAACAGAAGAGGCCTAGACTGAACAACAGACTCCACAGGTTCAGCAAACAGAGCAGACACTCTGAGGAAGATTCCCAGCCAGAAACGGGCAACAAGATGACAGCAGCAGTAGCTGGGAAGCAGGACTGGACTGGTTTAGATCTACAGGGGTGATGGGAGACAAACACAGAGCACAGCAGGAGAGAACTATGGCACAGTGGACACCGAGGATGATGGGAATGAGCTGGAGACAGGACAGCTAACGGGGCGGATTCGCTGGAGAGACACGCACGGGGGGAACAAATGCCAGGCCATGCAATCGCCAAAGGGTCTGACCTGAAAGTTCTCAAAATGCATCAGGGACTTGCAGTGTGCGAGCCGGGCAGCGGAGTCGCTATGGTAGAATTTGTGACACAGCCTGCAGAGGTAACCTGCGACGGGGACCAGAAAATCCAGGCCTGCGAAACGGGAGGGGAAGGGAAATCACAGATCACATTGAATGGAACTCAAATAATGAAAGCATGTTAAAAGGGGGAAGGGGAGTGGGGGGAGAAAAGGAAAAGTGGAAAGCTTTGCTTCTGTTAATCAGGGGATTTGCAAGATGACTTGCTGAATATCTCGTCTTACCATGGAATGGCTGGGGTTGATATTCAGAGAGAAATCTGGCTGCCAGAGCAAAGAAACTACACAGAGCGTTAAGGGGGGAAAAAGGGAGAAAAGAATACAATGGAAAACTACAGAGAACATGTGATCCAATGTAATGGGATCAAACCAAGCAGAAGACAGCAGGCACGCAAGAGGAACACGCAGAGAACATTCACAGCATGAATCATTATTCCATCTGCCACACGATAGTGGAAGGTTACAGCGATATGGGAGATTGGTGTAAACAGAGCTCTCCTTGGGCACAAACCAGCCTCTGCAGAGCTGCCCTCCTCACAACACCGGTGAGGCTGGAGGTTTGAAGTCAGTCACTTACAGGGTGGGGACCAGACACAGCCATCTGGAGGCACCACTGCCCACCAGGGCAGCAGCACAGCTGAGGAACTGCTGGGTGCAGCGTGGGGTGTCTGAAGCAGAGGAGACATGCACAGTTTGGGCTCTAGCAGAGAGTTTGATACTGTCAGTGCTGCTCAGTATCTCTGTGCAAGCTGCATTTCTGTTGGAAAGCATTCCAATCAATATGCTTTCCGACTCCATCTTTCCAGAGCATCCCTCATTTGCTACCTACTTTCTTCAGTACTCCTGCCCTACTTGTTCCATGTCCTACCTTAGAAAAGTATCTGGCTCTCATCCTTTCTTCTTCAAAGCAAAAGGCAGCTGACAAACATCAATCACATCCTTATGTTTTATCACACAATAATAAAGCAATGTTTGGTCTCTTCTCCAGGCAGCAGTGACCTGCACCAGTCCAGTGCAGCTGCTGGAGCACCACGGCCCAAGAAGTCATTATATCAGTAAGTAGAGACCATCCTCTCTTGCAGAAATAGCATGTGGCCAGAGAAGGCTCTGTGGGCCTTTGTGCTTAACTCTGCTTGCTTACCATAGGCTGTGTCTGGACAATACTTCTCACTTCCTTCGTAATCCTCCAAAGACACTTCCTTCAGCCCAGTCTGGAAACCAAAAGAACATTAGTGCCTCCTGTATCTATGGCAATTCCCTTCCTGGGCTCTTGCATTTTTCTGGTAAGCTCAGGAGCAGAACAAGAGGATTAACATACCAGAGAGAGAGTTGCACAGCATCTGGTCAGGGCCAGATGCAAACCCCAATGTCAGCAGGCCACTTCACTACAAGGGTTAAAAATTACCCTTTGCACTCCAAGCCTGAAGTAGCTCAGCCATGTCCCTCCTTCTTGGTAACTGGGAAAATATTTATTGAGATAAACCTCCACACATATGTTTGCTATGAGCCCCAGCTGCTGCTGGGCCATTCAAAGAGACTATGCCAATGTCTGCTTGTGCTCCTCAACAACAAGGTAATGTTTGATGACAGCAGCAGGAGCTGCACAGCACA